TACGAAAATACGGCTGTACCAACTTTGGCAAGAAAGACGTTCGCAAAAGTCTTATAACCGCTGGCTTCACTCGAGTTCGGGCCTTGAGTGAGAAAGTACCTATCTCATGCTGGCCACAGGATGAAGGAATGAAAGACTTGGGGAAGTTGATGGAAGCCAACATCATGGATCTGATCAGTTCGATGGCTATCAAGCCGTTGATAGCCCTAGGAATACCAGAAGAAAAGCGAAAAGAGATGGTATCTCGGGCTTATAAGAGCCTCAGGAATGACAAAGCTCATCGATACATCAACTGTCGTATCGTTTATGGCCAGAAGCTTGGGGACCAAGGCTCCGTGGCGAGTCTTGGTTCTGATTCGTGATTTCTCTCGACATTTATGGCTGTTGGGGCGGAATGGCTTCCATGGGTAGCATATGAGAATGGAAGACAAGATGGAGGTTCAGGAGGCGTTTGGTTCTTGCCGTGTCTTGTTAAAACACTTGCAATAGCGATGACAACAATTTACCATGGAAGTCAACGCTTCTCTTCCTTCATTTCGCTCTTTGGAGGGATCTCATACAGTCAAAATAATACAAGACTGTTGTATTAAACAAATAATGTATCAAAAATAGGTTTGTAAGTTAAGATAGCGAAGCTCAAGTTCAAGCAATAGAAGCTTGTGAGGAGTGACGTTGGGTTGGCGGCGATCCTAGTCGCTGACAAACCTCGATCGCCGCACTGTACCTGCAGCTACCTTAGGTAGCTCTGGAAAATGTTAGCGACCAAAGCTTTGGCCTAAATCTTGACCTTGACATCAACAGAGCAACTATCACAGCGCGCATTAAAGAGCATCCACAACCACCTGACGCGGAATATTGAAAAAATATTACTAGAATTAAATCAACTGCTCCATCCTCTGTAGGCGATCAGCCTGCGCCATTCTCGCACACCATGCCCGGCGCCGTCGAATCTCCTGCCGCCGCTATCCTCAACCACTCTGCCACGCCCTACAACTTCCGCTTCTCGCCATTCCTTCGACAAACGTACCAGGTCGGCCTGTCCCCCGACCGGCCGATATGCAAAGCCTTCCAGTCGGGCCACTGCCCAAACGGTACACGATGTCCTGAACGCCATGTCTCTGATTCCAAGACGTCACAGCCGAGTGGTGGTCTGAACTCGCTCGTGTGCAAACATTGGCTGCGTGGCCTGTGCAAGAAGGGTGAGCATTGCGAGTTCCTCCACGAGTACAACCTTCGAAAGATGCCTGAGTGTAACTTCTTCATGCGAAACGGGTATTGCTCTAACGGTGACGAATGTCTATACCTGCACATCGACCCCCAAAGTCGGCTGCCGCCCTGCCCTCACTACGATATGGGGTTCTGCCCTCTCGGACCCAACTGTTCAAAGAAGCACGTGCGTAGGAAGCTCTGTGTGTTCTACCTGGCGGGTTTCTGTCCTGATGGACCTGAATGCAAGGAAGGCGCCCACCCCAAGTGGTCAAAGGATCTGGAGAAGCCAACCCTCAAGTCAGAGGAGAAGAAAGACGACGACATTCGGATGGATTCTGCGCAGGATGATATGGACAGGTCACGCGACCAACAGAGAGATAGGGATCGGGATGATGGGGGCAGACACAGAGGAGGTCATGGCAGTCATGGTGGTCGAGGCAAATGGCGAGGAAGAGGCCGTTACCGCGGAAGAGGTCACTAAGTCACATATTTACTTGTTGTATTTACTGAGTTGACGATGATACCCACATGATTCCCATATCAAGAGCTTCATGTAACTGTGAATCTCAAAGCAATGGTCGAAAATAAGGCAACTGGATTTGTATTTTTCCAACAGCCGCAGTGTTAAAATCATTCAAGAGTTGGAGTCGTGACGGCGTCTATATGTAACAAAATCGAACGTTTTACATGTTCCATCATAATGCGTGTCATGCAGATCCAATTTATATCGGATATCCAGCATAAATTTCAATCTTCATCGCTCAAGCGGTTTCAGATGCCTGGGGAGTCCACATGGCTCCCTCATTGTCAGCATGCCAGACGTTAGCATCTGATGGGACGGCGACAAATTCGCTTGATTCTCCTTCGCCCTTCTCGCTCTCATCATCCTCGTCACTGCTTTCTGAGCCTTCATAGGAGCTTGTCTTCCATGTGGAGAGCTCGTCGACTCGGCGGATGCCCATCATCCATGAGACGAGGCCTCGGGGGGCCCATCGTCCGACGAAGCCGTACACGCTGGCACCGAGGCCAACTCGTACGGTGTCAGCAGTGATGGAACCATCAATCACATCGAACACAGAGTTGTGGAGGCGTCGAAGCGAGCTTCCCTTCAGTCCACGGATACGACCTCCGGAGATGGCAGAGCTGGTTTGTGCGACAAAGTTTCGAGCATACACGTGTCGGGCGCCCTCGGGCCAGACAAGAGGAGACTCAGGGTTTCCTGCAGTGACGAGGCCTTGGTTGGGACCGCCACGAGTCGGGACGAAACTGGAGAAGTCGAACGTGCCGAGCTGCATGTGGGTCACCGGAATATCGAGGGGTCTAAGTTCAGCGGTGAGGACTTCCGTGAAAGCGGACAAGGCCGAGCAAACGGTAGCCTCGGGCGCATGAAATGGTGGGTTGATAGAGGAAATGATAGAGGGGGTAAAGACAAGAACCTTGGGAGGAATCCATTTTTCTCCGATGGGGTTCAAGCGGGATGTGAGTAGTGGTAGGAAAGCCTGGATTGCAAGGATGGGCTGGAGGAGGTGGGTATTGAAAAGGTCGGCAAAGCTGGATGGTGGGATTGTCGCGATAGGAGAAGTTTGGTAGTGGAGGCTCGGGATCAGGATAACGGATTTCAGAGTGAGCTGGTTGGGCTTCATTCCAGGGCCAGGAGCTTGGGGCGATTGGAGGAAGTGGGCAAAATGCTCGATGGCAGAGCCAGCATTAGGAGGCTAGGGAAATGTCAGTATAGTCGCACGAAAGCCCATGAGGCAAACTCACGTCAGTGGTATCAATGCTCAGAGGTCGAACATCGGGTCGCTTCATAGCCTGAACCATGGACTCATCCTCAGCGGCGTTGCAGACGATGAAGACGATGAAACCCCGTCTCTCCATGTCCAAAGACAAAGACCTTGTCAAAGGAAGAGTTGGAGATCCGGCGATAACGACGACATCAGTACGTCCGCCATTTCGTGCCCTTCTCGCTCGTCTTGTCTTTCTCATGGAGCGACTTTCATAGTATCCTTTATAAACGACGGTTCCGCAGGTCAAGACAATCATTCCAGTCAAAATTTTGTGCTCGGCAATCCAGTTCTGGAGCCTTTCGAAGCGGCCCAAAGAAACGACTGCCACCACTTCTTTCACCGCAGGCTTAGGCCTGACAGACTCTGGCACCCATTCCGAGGTGGACAGAGTCTCTCTGACAACTACAGCGGCGCGGTCGACATTCTTATCAATGAACTCGGAAGCAACGTCGGCGTATTGGCGAACCTGGCTCGAGAGCTACAGCACAATAAGTAAAATATCTTGGGGGAAAGAGCCGCATGTCTTACCGTGTCCAACAGCTGCTGCGGATCGACCGACATGATGGTGGTTGGTGAAAGAGAAAAGATTGTTACAGGCTCTTCTCATATGACGGTGACCTTCATGCTAGTGGAGAACTAGGTACAAAAGCTTCTGATACCCAACCTCTTTTCCGCGCACGGGCCATCCGATCTCCGCGCCGGAGCACGGGGCTTAGTCCTCCGATCGTGACCTACCCGAGGTCGGGTATCTAGACGAAGGTAGATCATGCTAGGATTGAAGGTTCTTTTGAGTGAATTTGGTGAAATGGAATAGACATTATGTTCTTGTTGACTATTGACTTTTTTTTCTTTCTGTCCTGTTAGTCATGTAGCCCAGAAGCATCCTTATCAAGACCTGTATTCGCCATATTACCATGGGTTCTCTGAATAATATTTACGAAAAGTACGCCAGGACTCATCATGAGACACCAAACAAGATGTATCATGAATACATACGAAGCTTATATTGCTAGGCTAGTCTTGTCTCACCAGAAGTCTTTACGAGAGAGCCTAGGCTCTTCAGGAATGATAAAATTACTTTGGCTTATTGAGTTTGCTCCTCAGTGTTATGAAATATCAATACGGTCAAGTAATGATCCAGTTCTATATTTCAGAGTGTGAACTATCAAACCTGCTCAAAAACTTGATACTACAAGTCCAAGCACTTCGTTGACATACATGCCCAGTTAACCTCCTTGAATGTCGACACTGAATAGAATGGTCATGAGCGAGTAATCTTGCCATAGTTTCGTTAGAACAAACTCTCTGATGAGCGTGTATCCACGTAAGGGCCAAGATTGTGTGTCGATACCTGCCTGAACTTACACAACCGGGATAAGACTAAATCACAGCACATTCAAATTACTTCTTACATCAACGAAGCATGGTTACGCCTCCTGTCTTATGCCTAGTGGCGGTGCATATCCAGTATCGAACGAGAGAACTACAAGTTACTACCATATCTAGTCTAAGTGATGGGCTCCACAGGCTTCGGACGTGCAACTCCTATCAACCGCGTATATTTATGCAATGTAACCGCACGAACTTCGAGACAACACAGCTAAGACAATATACACAAGATTTACTCTTCAGTTCAGACCCGAAGACGATATTTCGTTCTCAGGAATACATCAATACTCTAAAAAAAAACGTCCTCTCAATTTACGTCTTTCCTTTGTATTTCGACATTGTTCCACTTATCGGTGCTAATTCCCCAGACTGAAGATAGTGGCAGTGGAGTTGATGCGGGGGTTTTGACCGGTTATCAGCGGGTCCTTCCATCAGGAAGCTCACTAAGAGTGCTATCTATTGTTGTATCTCGTGATCATATTTCGTCCTTGTAACACTGTTATACCACTGAGCTCGTCTCTATTGACATGGAAACTCTCGTTGTATTCTTTATTTAATTTGCCCAAAAACTCTAGCGCACCTGATTGCTTGATATTCCTGAACGAACTGACCATTATGATGCTCTTGGGCTACCTGCAACATCGTCGAGCTTGGTAGGGCCCCTTTTACAATGCCAATCTCCCAATTTAACTTAAGAGTTCTTACTCGGATAACATATCTTGCTAATACCATTGAAGCCAGTTCAAGCAAGAAGAACGGAGATCGCGCATCAAGAGACTAGCATCATACCATGCTCCTTTCACTGTCTTGGATCGAGAGATTGTGAACAAGCCCATTGAAGAACTAGTCCAAGCTGTCCAAAAAGACTCAAGTAAGGCCTCGGATATTCTTCATACATATGGTAAGGTTGCCCTCAGGGCACACGAAAGAACGAACTGTGTAACAGAAGTCCTGCTTTCTTCGGCTGAGCAATGGCTCACAGATGGCTCCCTCAATTTCAAAGGGCCTCTGGCTGGTATACCTGTCAGCCTAAAGGATACAGTTGAAGTGGAAGGGTACGACAGCACTGTAGGTATGAGCACACATGCTGGGCAGCCCCTTTTGCGTGATGGAAATACCGTCAGAATACTCAAAGACGCTGGGGCTGTCCCGTATGTCAAGACCAACGTCCCCATCACACTCCTCAGTTTTGAGTCATCTAATGACATATGGGGCGTGACATCAAACCCATACAACAAAAGCTACACTGCTGGTGGTTCGACAGGAGGTGAAGGTGCCTTGCTGGCATTGGGAGGCCGAATTGGAATTGGAAGCGATGTTGCTGGAAGTGTTCGCTGCCCCGCTCACTTCTCTGGCTGCTATGCACTTAAATGCTCAACAGGAAGATGGCTTAAGACAGGAGTGGTAACAAGCATGCCAGGGCAGGATGGTGTTCCTGCAGTGTACAGTCCCATGGCGCGTACACTCAACGACCTGACCTATTTCACTCGATCAATCATCCAGATGAAACCTTGGACTTATGACTATTCTTGTCACCCGTTACCTTGGAGAGCCGATATCGAGAAAGAGTTCTCTGAGAAGAGGAACTTACGAGTCGGAATCCTTCGAACAGACGGCGTCGTGGATCCCAGTCCCGCTTGCCGAAGAGCACTAGAGATGACCGAATCTGCTCTACGAAACGCAGGCCATGAGATCGTGGAGATTGATCCTCCTTCTCCTTACGAAGCTCTATGTCTAGCCTCTATCCTTCTCTGCAGCGACGGCCTCAAGACTGTCAAATCCTTCTTTCGTTGGGGAGAGTGGAACGATCGAGGTGCTGCCCAAATGATCTTCTATTTCAGCCTTCCTCGATCGGTGAAGTACTTGCATTACCTTTGGGTCAAGTATATTCGAGGAGACGCTATATGGGCTGGACTCTTGCAGAACTGGCATCCTCAATCCGGATACGAGATCTGGCAACTCAATGCTAAGCGCGAGCTTTACAAGAGGAAATGGTTTGAGTGGTGGGATAAATCCGGTATTGACTGCTTGATCACCCCTCCCAATGCTACTCCAGCTGTTCCTCATAGGGGCATGCATGATGCATGTAGCAGCTGTGGCTATACCTTCATGTTCAACCTGGTATGTTCATCGATAGCGCAAACTAACGTGACGAAGCTGATCTGGGATAGCTCGACTATACCGCTGGCGTCTTGCCCGTGACACATGTCGACAAGGCACGGGATCAATTGCCAGGAGACTTCAGCCTCAATGGTCTCAACGGCATTGCAAAGGGTGCATACAAACTTTATGATGCAAATGCCATGCATGGATTACCTGTAGGTGTTCAAGTAGTTGGCCGCCGGCTAGAAGAGGAGAAGGTACTGGCAATTATGAAGAGAATCGAGGAGGCCATGGGTGACAATACTTTTCCTTTACTAGATATAGATTAGAACCAAACCCGCCAGACACGCCCTTTTACTATTCCCTTTCCTATTTAGACATCTGTTTATGTAGATAACACACCCAAATCAGCTCAAATGTTATGGTATCAAACAACACCTACAGGCTTGAAACCATCTCCCCTCTTAGGTTTCCTCCTCTTCTTTTCACAAGCACATGCGTCTCTCTCACCTCCGTCGTCCTGTCACGACAAAGTCAATTTTGCCAAACTCATCCACTACCGGCTCTTCACCAGCAAAACAAGTGTACTGTTGGTTGGCCCCATGCTCAATATCAAAACCTTTGTTGCCCCATGCCTTCTCCATCTTCTGACGGAATTGCGTCCTGGGCTTGCCAGCCTGAATACGCTTCTTTTCGAAGAAAACGTAAGCCGCATAGAAGGTGATGTTGGTATTGCCATCGCGGACTCCCTTTCGGCCCATGAAGTAACGCATATTGGCCGGGGATACGCTTTTTCCTTCGGGGAGGTTCTTATTGAGAGCCCGGATGAAAGCGGCTTGAGTCATTCCCTCCTTGGCTAACATAGGGCGAATCTTCTTGCGGATCTCGTCGCAGGTGTCGTAAATGGGAACTGTTCCGTCTGCCTCACCAGGAAGTGGGTCAACGTTGCTCACATCAAGAACTTCTTCAAGGGCTTTGGCGGAGGCAGCTGTCTTTGCTTTCTTGGGTTTGTTGGCCTTGAGGGGGAGCCCCTGAAGCTCGCGCTTTTTGAAGAAGAGATGGGCTTTGATATACGTATCGGTGTTCTCGCCATCCCAAGTACCAGTTCGGTTCATAAAGCTATTGTAGGATTTGCCACTGACTCCAATGGTTTTCTGAAACTCGCCAATTTTTTGAGCGCCTGAATCGATCCAGTTACGAATCTTGCGACGAATGGCATTGCAAGTGTCTGAGTCATGAAGTGCTAGGCGTTCATCTTCGCTGTCTATATCCGGCACATTGTCCGGGAAAAGATCCTCTTTTGTGGTGTCGGGACCAACATCAGACTTGCGCTTCCGAGAGCTGGTGGTTGTCGTAGCTGGGGCTGGAGCTGGGGCCGGGACTGGCGGTGCTCCAGAAGCGGTTTTTCTGGTCATACGGAAGGTATTCACAAGTGAAGGTGGACCGCCTGGTGCTTGAGCCCTGGATGTGTGCGGAACAAATGGTGGTGGTGGGTTGTAGTAGGCAGGAGAAGTTGAGTTATTGGGGATGGGACCAGGAACCGGGACAGGAGGAGGCACAGGGTTATTATAGACAGGGAGAGGGCCAGGCTTGTTATAGACAGGCTGATGGTTATACACAGGTAGGGCTGGGTTTGGAGCAGGTGGATGAGGTAGGTTGAGCGCTGGCATGCTTGGTAGGCTCAGTGGCGGAATAGTAGGACGCGGTTGGTGGCTCAACTCTGGCTGGCTCATTTGTCGCATGGCCTGTCTAGGCGACCAAGACCAACCTGACATGTTTTCTGAGGGGAATTAAGGAGATAATTTCGGAGGAAATTGCTGGAAGCTTTAAGATGCCGGCCAAGGCAAGGTAAAGAAGGTAAAAGCAACGACTGCCGAACTATGACGTTCGTGTAGGCCCGCGCATTTTTACGCGTCAAGCTTGGGCTTCCAGCTGAAAGATAATAAGGTAATAAGCGGCGCGTGAAATTGGAGTGGGGGACTACTACCTTAGGTACCTGCGTATTCAGGAACCGACACTGTCTTTTAGCGTCTCCCACTGTCCCCTGGCCATGCCGATGCTCGTTATTCCCGGTGATCAATGAAATCCCGACTAGGCACGCCAGGGCAAATAACCTACCTACCTACTCAAAAGGCAACCTAAATTCATCATAAAAAGCCTAAGTTATCCTAAAATTGTCTAAGCATCCTCATTCTTTAGGACACAGCTTCCTTAGCCTGAAGGGTACGGCCCGTCAGGAGACCAGAAGAGTGGAGATTAATTGACTGTCTTCCGTAAGGGTATAAATGGCCGTGGAGCATAAAGCCGACAAAGGCAGAGCCCCAGCTTCACTGTATTTGTCGATAACCGATGGACTTTCGCCCCAGAAACAGGCTAATAGTGGAAATTACTAGTAGCTTAGCTAGCTTAGGTATATTGTGGAGGGTCCTAAACGAGGTCGACAGGCCATGCAAGCTTATATAACTTATTCAACGTCTCTTCTATGGCTCGAGAAAAACCCAAGTATAAATACCACACTCACTCATACAGTTCGGTCATCAATGCTTTGGTTTATTCATTGTATTTCCTTTGTAGCTGAAAGTTTTGCATGGTGACCTCGTCGCGCCGCGGCACTAAGCTTGTTCTGCCTCATCAACTATCAATGCACTGCCTGACACTGCTTGACACTGCGAGTTTACTTATGCTACCATGACTTATGCATATAAGCATGAATGTGCTACTGTATCCTTCTTTTCTTTATTAACCCTTAAAAATTTTCTTTTTTCCTTTCCTTAACTCTCTCTGCTTTTCTTTCTTGCATGTAGGAGTAACTCGGCCAGACAATTTATTACTCCCTGCACACGAAACAACCACAACCTACGACAAACTCATTGCCATCGCGAAACAGAATGCGCAAAAGGCCACCAACGGAAATGGTACCGACCCGAATGTGATAGGTACACCACTGGAGATAACTAACAAGATGCTAGCGTTCATGAGGAGGGGCTTCCGCGGCCTCGAAGAGCGTATTTTCACTTACCAAACAACCAACCCAAGAGGGGGGCATCCGCGGCCTTAAAGAGCGTCCATTGACTTACCACACAACCAACCCAAGAAGGGGGGCATTCGCGGCCTTAAAGAGCGTTCATTTACTTACCAACTCACTCACTTACCCAACCGGGGGGCTTCCGTGGCCTTAAAGAGCTTATTTTCACTACCTACACTATCGTTCAAACATCTTACTCGTCAATCATACCAGGTATCTCGAATACGCAAAGACCTGCGCCTCAGAGTACCTAAGTACCTACCTCACCTTTTGACACATTCGGTAAGGTATCTTGTGTCCGTACCTGCCATTGAAGTCCTGGACCATACCAGGTTACCTTTGTGCCTTTCAATAACAATGCACTTTCCCCAAAAGTTCCATGTCGTGGCTTCCTTCAGATGGCCGTATCTTATTCTCTCCACCATGCGACTCTTCGTTCCTTCCAAGGAGATAGACCTGCCTCAAGGCTTCGTTTTCTCATGGCTCCAATCAGTTGTCTCCTCTTTTCTCTCTTCATCATACATCTCGCACCCTTCTCTATCATACTCGCACTCACTCCGCCCTCCTGATCGTCCCTAGCACCACTCATTTCTGCCATATTGCAGGTCTTCCCAGGCAACGATCATTCGAACGGTGATCATAATACGTCAGATTCTCCTAGCTCTGTACCCCAGAAGCAAAAACGGACTTCCGAAGACTTCGGTGAAATGACACCCGAGCAACGAACTCGACTTGAGAGCGGCATTGATGGATTGGTTCTTGAGCCTCCTGTTCCTGGATCCGATAACGAGAAAGACTTTTGGCGCAAATGGTTCGACGATTTTCGCAAACAGAGTCTGAAACAAGAGTGAGCTCTATCATCACAAGTTTATATTTCGCTAACCAGTTCAGCCTAAAAGACACACCGACCTGTCGTGACCTGGAGCGTTTCATTCGATACGCATCTGAAAGGGTGAAAGTAGAGAGCGATTACTATGCCCTTCGGCTTTTGTGTATCCACACAGGACTATTTCATATCAAGGAGTACCTTATCTTCCAGTACAATGATTTCGGCCTCGATTCATATGAAGAGACTAGGATTTGTAAGTTACCTGATACATACCCTCCGATCATCACCTCATTCGCTGACCATTTAATAAGTGTCCACCTTCAAGGAACTCCTGGGCAATGGGGAAATTGATATCGATTCGGATTTGGACGTTGTCATGTCGGGATATCCTTAAAGTACCGAATCAATCCAGTATATGCGACGAACAGCAAGACTGGGCGAAAAAAACACCATCAAGTATTACTTTCTCAATCCTTTCATCTGTTTCTCGGCAAAACGACACAAGTCAATTTTGAAGTCAATCAGTACTATCCTGTTAAGAATGGAAAGCTTCCTGGTGCACGATAATGCACGAAGTAATCAACCAGCAATCACAATATGGTCTAGGTGTTGGTGGGTTTAGCAGCAGCAGACTTATACTCAAGTCATGCGTACAATATGAAAGGAGGATTTCGGGACCAATGACGGTGGATTAGCACATACATAGGAACACATATTACATATGTAATTCAAGAGGAAGAGTCAATGCCTCTCCAATTAATCCCAAGACTGCGATACGAAAATGACCTAGTTTCAAACTATCGGAAAGGGTGATGCTTTTGCTCCGATGCTGCGCTACGTATCGAGCTGGTCCCACGGTTAGCAGCATATTAAACGACATATCAGCCGTACCGAAGCCGGTCCAGAAGAGACCGACTCATCGGCGACATCACTTGCTCACGACCAGGATGCCACCATTCATGACAAGGGGGCCAAACAGAGAGAAACCACTTTCGACCTACCAAGTATCGAATCCACTATCGAAGAACAAGAAGATGAAGTCTAGTCCTGTTCAAGGTGGAATTGGATATGGCGCTCCCGATTCTCATATCGGCTGATAAGGTAAGGCTGACAGAGGCACAGCTACAGTTCCACAGTGTTTCTTGTCAATCGTTGAATGTTCAAATCGGTAGAGGCTGACCGTTTGAAAAGGCTTAAGATGAGTGACCCAGTGACAAATCTGACACCTATGATGATTTCGGCCTTCGGCGTTCGCTATACGGCAATAACTCCTGGCCCAGAAGATGACAGCGTGACGATGTTATGTTATCCTTGCCCTACGAGCTGAGTTCTGGTGGAAGCATCGAAGGATTTAATCAATAGGTTTCACGGTAAATACTATAATGAGAGGGCCGAGGGATTTGAGTTTCTTGTTGACCATATTAATGAAAAGGTATAGAACGCCTCGATTGTTTTTCAGCGATAATTCTATGGACTGATGTAAAGAGCTTCCGACTCCTTGGGACGTGATTATGAATCGTTTGTACATCCTCGCGGCTTTGCCTGTGCTTCAATCTCCGGGTCAACTTAGGTAATGGGTACATCTAAAGAGCTAGATGTCATGTATGTACCTGAGAATAACGAGCAAATTGCCGACGGAGACTCCAGCAGCATGACCAGTGGCCCTGAAGCCTACCTATTCTGTTGCTGACTCTCCACAGAAGCTCATTCACCCTCCGTTCTTTCAATGATACCGTCATGTAAATTTGCTGTATCCTTGGTGCAGCCCTCCGACCTGTGTGACAAAGTGATCTCGCGACGAGGCTGGGATCCGCCAGCCATTTCAACCGGAAGAAGCAAATGATAGTCGCCAAAGCCTAATCCCATGGACATTCCTGGACTACTCCAAGGCGTGTAAACTGTCGATGTATGAAAGGTTCACAAAGATATTAGCACCAGCCCTTGTGAAGTATAAGCCCCATGCTACGTATGGTTCGGCTGTTAAGGCAAGTCCAAGTTCCCATTATCTCGATCCTGGACCAGCTACAATGAAAGGAATTATCCATCGTATGCTTTTGGAACGGCAAGAGACAAGTGCACCGTCAAGCAAAAGTGGTTCGACTGCTCGCATGAGATGTTCCCCTAGCACGTCCCCTACATGCCCGCCAGGGGTTGTTGGGACAGTTCGCTTCACAGGTAATACTTGATCTAGGCGAATCATATACTAGGTTGATCAAGAACATCAGCAATAACTCAATAAGATCAGCGCGACCATCGGGGCCAAGACGTCTAACGATCTGACGAACATCGAGGAGGAGCTCGCCGGGTACGGTAGAGTTACCTAAGGCGTCTGTATTAGTGAACAGGCAGAAGATCGTGTTGGTGGACTGTCAAGTGAAACTCAGAGATCACAAGAGTACTCTACATCAAGCAGAACTACCTGTCTAAGGCATTCTCCTCGAATATTATTACCAAAGGGTGCCTGGTATGAGGGCAGAACCCCAAGGGTGTCTAAGACCGAGTCACTGCTCATGGCGATGCAGAAGTTGACAGTATACGCACCGAAGTTCTGGTGGTCGCCAGACCAGGTAAATGTTACCATCTGCTCCAAGTACTCCGTATATTCTAGGTTCTGCGACTGCAACAAAGCACCGTATACGGACTTACCGAAGACCACCATGATATCAGCAAGGTACCCAGCCGTCAAGATGACGGTCTACGCCACGATTTCTATGCTCAGCAACGGAAAGGGAAATTCACTGACGCAAGCCTCCAACCAACAAGAGAAGCTGGATCAACAACACCACTCAGTTCATGATATCCTTCGTGGCCACATCGATCTACTCCCCTTCATGACCTCGTTGTACGACTCTCTTCAGAACTCGTAGCAGCCAGTCTCCTCGACCGTGCGACTCAACCTTGTTGTAAGCTTTCGACGACATGGACTTGCTGAGTATAACCTTAGTCTCGACGGTGTAGTCATCGTAGACAGAGTTCACATTAATCTGGTCAAGCAGCAAGAGGAAGTTCCCTCATATCCCACCCAAAGAAGAAGCTATGCGTCATACATATAGTACTTATCAAAAGTTATAGATATTATTCAGATCTATAGCCCGCGATCCTATTCCATTGCACTTTAGATATGAAACACGCGTAATTCGAAGCGATACATCCTCGGCACTAACATTTGTCTCCTGGGACCATTGTAATCTCGCAATCTGTTCAAGTAGACATGCCGTTCGTAACTACCATGTGTGGCCACTATTCTTATTTATTGATAATAGTGTTTGGTACATTAATCAACAACCAATACCCCTTGAGGATCTCTCTGATGACCTTGGGAATGAAGTCTATGTAGACGGCATAAAAGAGGTACCGCACTTTTTGGCTGCAGTGATAATGTTAGTCCTGATATGAGACAGATGCAAAGGCAACTTGCCTTGAGCTTTGGTGTGTTCAGTCGCCATGAATGGGATACGAGAGATAACAGAGTATGGGCGACATCCTAGAAAATTGTCAGGAAAGTTTCAACAGGAGGCAATGGGAGAACATACCACGGTACCAAGCGAAAACCGCCGTTGAAAAGTCGGGGAAAAATCTCAAGGCAAATCTCTCACGAGTAATATCGTGCAAGAAACCGGCGTGTCTCAAAGCATTGGTGATTTCAACTCGGGTGTCAGATGGCCAAGTCACAGGCGACAGAATGCAAAGGACGACGTTGAATGCACTTTGATGTTCCAGCCCCTCAGACTGACAAATGTAGTTCCACGAGTGAGACCATAGTTTTCGTAGGTAGTCTCCAACGATCTCAAATGGTTTCTTACCGAGCTTTCTCATGATCTGTTTGACCTTGGCCAAATGAGGAGATCTTCGGATATCATCTGGGAGATCCTTGTCGACAACGATGAGATGCTTGAATGGCTCTTCAACGAGGAATCCGTAGTAAGCGCAAGTCATAAGCTTGCGTTGATTACGTCCCTGCCCTTTGCACAAACCGCCAGGTAAGAACTTGTGGATCGTGGGGGACCTTGAAGCCCTATTCCGGGTTGTCGTAGTTATTGGAACATCCGTAATATAGCGCTGAGGGCACATTCACTTCGGTGGAAGGAGCACCACTGCGCGTTTCCCAACCAGTGGCAAATTTTGGCTCGTTGTTGTCGAAAGCCCATGCAACTCCAGAAGAACTGATTCGTTTGGATGAGCTGGGGAAGTCGTAGGAAGAGGAACGAACTTACATATTGCCCAGGTCGATGGCGATGACCATAGTAGGCGAACCTTGACCGCCTCGTTTTACCGGGAGTGAGCTGATCCGCCGAGGCAACAATTTGTGTGTTCACGGGGGGTTGGGAGTTGTAAACGCGGTGATGATCCCTTAGAAGCCATAGCCGAAAGGGGGCTGTGAGCTCACTCATTGAAGATTTTGCCGAACGATGAAGTATGAATGATGAAGTTAAATAAAATTTTGATGAGGGGAGAGAAAAGCGAAGAAGTGAAGAAGTGAAGGAGAGAAAACGAAGTACCTAGTGAAATAGGGGCGTGATTCAATAAAGCAAGCATCGCCAGTGCCAACGAGTGCCAGCAAGCGATAGGCCATCTTCCGTTAACTCCATTGACGAGCGCTAAGGCTATGATAGACACGCGCGGTTGTAAAGGAATGTTTTGGCCCAAAGGGTGCGCTTCCGCAGCCATGAACATATGCCCGTCAGTCTGTCACTCGTCCAGGAAAATCTCAAATTCCAGTGCAAAGACTTCGTCATAATCGGTGAGTCAATCAACATATATCCTCCTTCACTCGATTTCGCTGACCATTTACTACCAGAATTCGCTTTCGTTGACCTCTTGGGAGAAAGGGACGCTCACTCGAGATCCTCGCAACCGCAACTATACGGACACTAGTGAAATTGTTGGCTTTATGATCAAAGCTTTGCTTCAAGACGGTCAAAGGAATGGGTCGTTATCATGAAGGCAGTCACTTCTGTTACAGTCAATGACTGGAGCCAGAGCTGGCCCCTACTTGACTCAACCCCAGAAAAATACGCCTGTATCGTGATGGATGACGTGTGGAAGAAATGGGTCTACAATCCAGTCCAGCTCCCTCCTGCCGACATATTTTACACCACTGCGAACATTTACCAGCCTCGAAAGAGAACCCTGGAGGCAGTCACCTGCAAGTGCATCAACCGTGGCCTGGATCTGACTCAGAGGGGTGATCGTATGTTGGCTTCTCAAAGGTCAAGCAATGAAGACTACAAGAAATGATCAGCGGAAGAACAGGCGAAACTCAATGATAAGTCTACCAACGACACGATGTCACTGGCGGACTCCGAGGACAATGTTCACGCTCAGCCAGACGCTTTCGTCGACTACTTGTCCAGGATCAACGCTTGCCATTATGAAACCGCCCGAAACTTTTTAACACGTTGTGCAAAACCAGGTGGTAATAAGGACAAATCAACAGCATATCCGGATTCCTGACCTTTAGCTTCAGCCGATAGCACCAGAAATAAGAGATTCCAAGAACACGATACCTCTCGAGGAACTGATCTGGTCCAGCCACCGTCGGCGCAAACACGGATAGCTCTGATAACAAGTCCCTATACAGCCAGTAATTAAAAGGTTTACTAAGTTTTAATAATATTTATCCTAAGTTCTCCTAAGTTCTCCTAAGTTCTCCTAAACTGTCCTAAAGTATCCTAAACTAGTATCTAATATTATACTAAACTCTCCTAAATTCTTCTAAGAGTTATATCTTAGGATCGAGGTCTTTGTTTTAGAGGAACGTGCAGGTGAACAGTTGTAAGCTTTGACAATAAGGTCAGATTTGGCACCACTGGTTTTGTCGCTTGCAACATGTTGGATACTATCCCCAACGTATAGTATAGTTTCAGTGAAATAACTTGTTCCAGTATCCTACGACGAAGATGTTCTCATGAGAGCCAACTTTTTTGCAACAGTCAGACACAAACTTGATTCAATCATCTCCAAATGGTGCTGGAAAACAGGGCTATCGCCCACGACCTCACTTGATGATATGACATTTCATCAGTTTCGCGACTTCTGCAACTGGTTTTGAGACAGCTGATCTCTCGGACTCGTCGACTCAGAAGAGGGGGTATTCAGCATGATGTGGTTAGATGCCAAGACAGCAACGACAAGACCCAGGAAGACGCGAGCTCCAATATCCAACCTCAACACACGCAAGATAAGGACTGTATACGCATGGCAATAGTGCCGTCAACGCGGAGGCTGAGGCATGTTGAATCTGTAAATAAGGTGATTCCATGCCCTGGGCTGTAGCTATATGTGAAATGGAATCAGGGTGATATCGATATGACCCCTCCTGCACTTCAAAGCAATTACAATGAATATAGGATTTATCAAGTCCCAAGTTACAGGAACCCGGACAGCGCATTCTTATGCTTCTCAATTTGATGCCCCATCCCAGCCAATGTGGCCACAGTCCTAGGGATCTCTCTCTGCATCCACTCGCAGTCATCCTTGCACATCTGCAGTGTTGCAAATATTGCTTCATCTTCATAGGGTCCATTCCACTGGTTCACAATCGATGCAAGTGACGATGCAGTAGCCTGGAGGTGTTTCTCGGCGACCTCGATAGTATTTGAAATCAGGTTTACTGCTTTTCGATTCATGATTTCCATGTTGCGGATTAGCTTGATGTGAAAATCAATCACTTCCTGGTAGCGTGGCGCCCCGTTGATCCATGGTGATGATGACACTCGCTCGCCAAGTTCGAGGCAATGGTTGATACATGTCTTGTTGGCGGTTTGAATTTTCTTGATTTCGATCAGACACTGCTGAAGTAATTCATGTTTTTCGCAGAGTTCGTGGAAAAAATCGGTGAAAGCGACAGCGTCCATGTCCTTGTCCAACCAACGAATAGCCAGATCTCTAACATGACCGGTGCTTTCATTCTCGTCGGACACGCCGTGTTGCGCAGGTGGCGCCATGATGGATAATGCCTGTAGGATATCAGTTACTGAAGGTATATCATTTTCGAAGAGATGCCTACTTACAGGACGGTGATTGACGAGCAAATCGAATGAAATGCGGTAATAGGCACGTTTGAGACCACTGGAACATTCGACATTAGTTTGGATAGGTAATCGAAGTAATCGAAGGTAGCATTCACTTACGCTGCGCTGGCCCAGTACAAGTTTGAAGAAGCAAATTGACTGTTGGTGATGTAAAGCGAAATGATTTTGAAGTGAAAAGGTAAAGAAATGACATGACATGAGACGGTTAATATAGGTGGGGTATGGCTGGCAGTTGTTGCAGCTGTCAATAACAATTACCTGCCGTTCTGCCCAGCTGTAGAACACAATTTGATTAGAGTTGTATTGTCGTGTGCTCACAATCGAACAATAGGGCCAATTCTCTGTTGCTGTCCGATGCCTTGTGATCAAGACTATTGCATTTAGGGCAACACCATTGGCGGACGATAAGACCATTCGTTTTGTGCCACTTGTATATGCGATATAGTTCGTGCGCTCGCTTCTCACTCTTTTCTTTGATCTCCCATCCCACAACAGTTCCGATGTTCAAGAGGCGGATGGTGTGAACACGCGCGTGAGAGAGCGCAGGGACGGTCCGATAGCTCTCTGCTGTAACCCGATGTCGGAAACAAGGCCGTAGTCGATGAATACCACATGTGCCTCGTTGCCTTGCGCAGAATCAAGACTAGATGTCTTGATGTGATGTCGTTCCTCTGCTATAATGATCTCATTAAGAACGAGGTCATTCAGTTCATGGTCCAATAACTTGACTTGAGCCATATAGAAAGCGTACACGGCAATCTGAATAGGCTTGTTGAGATTCTTGCCCAGGCCAGTGAGATTGGACTGAAGAATTTCCCAAGTTGATCGAGGATGTACAAACGATGGAGATAGTTCGACTTGGACGTTGTATCGGAAACCCTGGAGCCGGGCAACTCGACCAATACGTTGCTCTCGTGCTTGGGAAGTTCGGGGTGAATCTCGCGCTTGATGTGATCGTGGAGGCAAGAAAAGGTAGTATATATCTTGCTTCTGTCGTAAGTTGTAAAGACTTGTGTAAGTTTAGGATACTTTAGGATAGGAACTTTAGGATATTTTAGGATACTTTAGTATAATTTAGGGGAGCTTTAGATAGAAGACTTTTACAAGGCTTATAGCCCGCCATGGTGTAGAAACCTGGGACATATCATTGCGCGACCGACCATTCTTATAGTTTTTGAGGTGGAACTGACTCTACTGGCTTATGTAACACATCCAACGTCCTTCACACTATGACATTCCTTGATCCATTGAATGCTTGGGTAAATAAAAACTTGTATGTTCGTCAAATGTATGTTTATTGGTCTTTTTATTGTTGAGTTTTAGTAACACGGATGATTGAATACTGTTTGGGCGTTTGCCAAACACCAATTGCTTGAACAATGACCAATTCTGACACTGAATCAAGCGACTGCTGGCTTAGTAGGCTTGTCTGTATTTACCCAGGTATGGATGTTTGCATTTATTTGCGTTTCTCATTGCTATCTGACATGTATATGACCTATCTATCTACTGAGGCAGCAATGACAAACTCCTGATGCCTATAGAAGCAATCATCAGAAGGACAATTACATCTCTCTTCCAGGAAAGGCTTAATCCTGTCAAACCTCCGCTTATTATACCTCATATACACGTGAGTACCTGGCAATGTTTGTACGACTAAGGTACTTATGAGATAATGTTGACCCCCCCCCTCGATTTGAAATGAATTCGGACCATGCTAGCACAAACGATTAGATTGATTCGATATCGGTATCGGTATCAAAATCATCATTGACGTCTCCCGAGTCGGAAGCAGGTATTGGCATATAGTCGTCGTCAGGGACTGGGTTACTAACTTAAGCCGGAGACGAAATGGGCTCTTGGTAACAAATTTGACCTGAAAGACGACCACGGCTTGTAGGAGTCCGACGGGGTTCTTTTTGGTGGCTGGTCTAGGTTCGCTCTCGTATGTGATCAGCTCAAAAATAGCATCGCCATCAATATGTTGCTGAATGATGAATTGTAGCTTGGTATGATCTGTCATATCTATTACGGATTGGTCGCTCTTGAATTTGATCTGTCGAGTCTCAACTTAGCAGGGTCTACTCTTTCAATCTTGGCCCTTTCCATTGCACTTAGAAGATCTTCGAGGCTCGTCCTCTGAACAATCGATGGTGGCCGATCGTTTAGTAGCATCGAAATAGCATTGGATTTTAGGACCATCGGGGTACTAGGGGAGGGAAAGTGTCGTCACTCTAAGCTGCATGAACCAGGCTATGTCTGAATAGGACTTCATAATCACTTCTTGTGCGCCTTTGATCTCGAGCCTGACACACTGTCGTAGGTTGATTAAACGCACAACGTGTTTTCCCGTTCTCCTGAGATTGCCAAAGTCGATTGATAGCTGGGTCCTTGATTTCTGGGCCGTTTCCCCGGAGATCCATCTTAGAAAAAGCCTCGAAAGCGGTTTTGTCGATGGTGGTAGTCAAAGATGAGTAAAGCTCTGGGTGAAAGAAGTTATCGTCGGGATCCCGACCTCCTGCACCGGAATTATTGTAATTCTAGACTGGTTCAAATTCTGGGTGTATTCGGTAATGGCTAGTCATGATTCTCACGTCAATACGGTAGAGAATAATGATCGTTTTTGAAAGGTCAAAGTTGATCCTTGCCTCAGTTACAAGAAAACAGAGGACTCTAGAAGAATATGCCAAAATAAACTTAGTAAAGAGTTACCTAAGTTTAGGCTAAATTACCTAAATCTTCTGATTACTTAGTCTAAAGATCCTTACTCTTCTTACCTCCCCCTGCCTTGGTCTGATGTCAGAGATTGGCAATAGCTGTGCATTGCCAGTATCGAAAGCAGAGACACAAAGAAGTGGAGGGGAGTGTTAAATGAAAGCGACAGGTTTTGAGGATAGTAGAGGTCAAAGAGGGGAGAGATTTAGGATAAGGGAAGTTTAAGAGGACAGGCTGAGCAGAGGTTCAGAAGGGGAGATTGACAATTGGAGAATTCCGAAATTGATCTATGACTACCTAGTCTTCCCTCGGAGCCTTGTCGTGTTTACGTTCGCAAACAATGTGATAGCCATTCATATGAGCATGAATAATTGACTGTATAGAATCGTCTGGCCATTGACCAATCGGGGCCAAGTGATCCTGCTCATGATTCTCCTGCTTATTGTACTCCTGCTTAGCAGCCTCCAAATGCTCAGGCTCAACCCATTTGATACAAGAATCAGGAATTCTTCGAAGCTTTGGAATAGTATCCCCCTTAACTGTTTTCATCTTCCACCTAATACCATGACTCGAAGCCAGGGACAAGACATCGACTTCTCGGTTCTCCGGATGCCAGGGAGGTATGCTTTGAGAGACACGTCGATCGAGTCTCAGTGCAGCCCGAGCAATGTACTCACGGTGACCTTCCACTTAAACTGATAAGTGATTGTCCGTGAATTCATTGCTGGGCATTCTGGCAATAATATCATACCCGCTCTTCTATTTGCGAATAAGATCCTTTACATGCTCTGAGATGTTGCCTGTAAATGCATCCTTGCCACTCCCAATGTTTTCTGAACAATGCTGTGTTGTGATTGCCAGTGACTCAAGATCGCACCATTAAATTCTCTCATCTGATTCGATATCATAAAAGTCTCGGTCCCAGTCAAATCTGGCGTGGTTACTGTCCTGCTCGTTGCTCTCATTTTCGTGCCCGCGGGGAGTAAAAGTTGTAGAATACCGATAGCACATAGCGTGTCTGATGACGGCTTCGTTTCGATGCCAAAGTGGCCCAACCCTCAAGTCGATAAGAGGGTGTTGGATGATTTCGCATCGTCTGCAGGCCTCTTGCCAGACCCAACTGTCGAACGTGACAAGCTTGGTGTAGGTGCAGCCGTCCATGGAGGCGGAGTAATCGTCTTCTTGGTTGAGTAGGGGAAACGATATACCACTAAGAAGCACCGCATTCTTCTCGTTATTGGTCTCCATGTTGTTGATAGAATCGTTACCGGATCGAGGTGGATTGATCAAGTGGTGCTGCTAGGCATTTGGAGTTGTTTCCACCTTCATAAGCCATGAATATGTGACAATTTTGAAAGCCGAAGGCGATGGAGGGTGACGGTATGTAAAGAGCAAGGTAAGAGTGAAAAGGAAGAATACAGCTGGGATGACTAGAATAAAATGCGAGCGGTGCTGAGATGCGTCGCTGAGTTTACCAGCAGCAATAATATCTCCAATGTGATGAACAAGGCGCCTAGACACCTAGGTAAATGGAAATGTGGAAAGAAGAAAGTCAGTACCTCAAGAGATTAGTCTGTTTTATAGGTAAATTATTGTCAATCATTATCAAGTACTGTTAAGCACTGTTGAGCACTGTCAGCCAACTTATGTACCCCTTGGGGAGAAGATATGCCACCACCTATTTTACTGCCTTAGGCATGTATTATTGCACCTACTATGATAATTCTCTTCCTCTCTCTCTTGTGTTAATCTTTTGCATTGGATGTATCTTTCCATCAGCACAGTTATGATCACCAACCACCAAATTCTACACCCAACATTCACGCGCATGGTAGCCGACACTTGACGCGCAGTCGAGAATGTCTGAATTTTCTTCCAGTGGATGTTGTTTCCAGTTCTAGGCGCCCTCGACTCTGCTAACGCATCTGTACGAGATGCAGCCCCTTCTCCTGGCCATACATCGGACAAGTGTCGGCTGCGAAGTTGCCAAACCTGTCATCATCAAGGCCATAGTGCAAACGAATGCCCACGCGAACTTCTATGTGCGCAATGTGGCGACGAACACTTCACCTTTGATTGCACCAAGGATGATAGCAAATGATCATACCTCAGGTGTGGTGACAAGGGCATGCTGGGTTCCAATGCAACGCACCACTGAACCTTGAACGAGCGAACGCGAACACACCCGCAGAAATCGACCAGAAATGCTACAAATGCGGTCATACGGGACACTTTGCAAATGGTTGCGAGGAACCGTGGTGCAGAACTTGCAAAAGAGAGTCACACTTAGCAGAATTGCCCCAACTTTACTTGCAGAGGTTGTGGTGCTGTCCGTAACGCCGATTCACCAATTGCTTGGAGTATGGACACACCCTTGGACAATATGACAAGTCAGGTAAGGGTCTCTCCGCCACCCTATTCACTGCAAAACTAACGGTTAATTAGTGAGGGAAAAGACCATGTTTTCACTGATCGGTGACAAATATTACCCTCAGGGTGCCGACCACTTTGAACAAAACTGCACAAATCCACAGACTTGCCAGACTTGCCAGGTTCTTCATGCCACCGCGCTCTGCCGAGTCCACGAGCAGAAGCCTGACAAGAAGCGCAACGCGTTGTCAGTACCGGTAGCCACAAATTACAACCACGTCGTCACTAAGACACTGTCCACCGAGCAACAGAGTATAATGGGCCTTATCCAACGTCACCAGGCTCCATCGATCAACGAACTCCGGAACCAGGCATTCTACGGACAATAAAACCAACAGGGCCAGTTCAATGATGGTAATGGCGGTGACAATGGTGGAAGCAGTTGGCAAGCTGACAATAGCGGAAGCACTTGGGATGCTGACAACGGCGGAAGCACTGGGGAGACTGACAATGGAGGAAGCACTGAGAATACATGGGGAGCCAAAGCCCCTGTTTATGAGGAGTGGTAATTGTGAAAATGTGATGATGATGGAATCGGAGGGTGAGGCAATGTCCATACAAGACATTACTGATCAACACATGGGCACGAACTAAAAGGGGCGACTGGCTAGGGGAGGAAAGAAAACTCACGACATCGATCCTAAAGGATGAAAAGGCTTAGGTAATTTGGCATAAGTTTAGGATCAGTTTAGGATAAACTTAGGATCCCTTTGTCTAAGTTTATTTTGACACTAGATATCAAGGTCCGATATTTTCCTGCTCCCCGAGGACTGCGTGACCAGGGAGTAGCAGCAAAAGTTATTTTCTTCCTTTAATAGAAATTGGTTCCTTAATACAGTATTTCTTCGACAATTTGACCCATGATATTCACGAGAGTCATCCAAGGAAGTTCGGTGGCCGCCACTACGTCGCCATTAAGCAGAAATCTGACTTGTCGTCTTCAAAATGTAAGATCATGGTACGATTCTGTGAAGATTAATGGCCCTTGCTCTCTCGATACTGTCTGTACCCAGTTATGACTCCAGCCTCGGTGGGTATTGCCCCGACGATAGCTTCGGGATAATTATAGCCGACCAACATTCACAACCCATCCGCAACCCAACGAAACAATGGGATAATTTCAGCCTGAGTCCAAGGGTCGTGTTCGTAAAGTCATGTCTAGTATGTTCATAATCTTAGATGAGTCTTTGATCAATGTACCTAAAGATTGTAGAAAAAGGCTGGTAACTAACCCCAACCACTTGGACAAAACAGGAGCATGAAGTTGCAGTATTAAACTAAAGCTTCTACTCCTTTTCTGTAATCATTTAATTTTAGGTCATTTTAGTACCAAAGTAAGGAATGCTCAGTGGAATATGTTTGGGTATAAGCACAACTCAAAACACCAACTCCGCACACCATGGGATGAGAACGATTTGTCAATTTTTGGCATTTCTTCGTCAAAGCCGTAAAACTAAATATGAAATCATGTACAAATTGATCATGCAGTTACAACGCCGCCCTTATATCCTCCGTAAATGCCCATTCCGCTTTGCTTAGTACAGCTTAATGGCAACAGACTTGTTCTGTGTGTAGTTCGCCAACGCAGCCTCGCCCAATTCCCGGCCAATTCCAGACTCCTTGTAGCCGCCAAATGGCAATTGGTGGTGGAGCATGTTGTAGCAGTTCACCCAGACTGTGCCGGCCTTCAATGCGTTGGAAACTCGGAGAGCTGTGTTGAGGTTCTTGGTGTGGACGGCGGCAGCGAGACCGTAGGCGGTGTCGTGGGCAAGATCGATGACCTCCTTCTCGTCCTTGAACTTGGAAATGGCGCAGACAGGGCCAAAGATCTCCTCCTGCATGATCTTCATGTCGGGACGGACGTTGGAGAAGATAGTGGGCTTGATGAAGTATCCCTTGGTGCCAAGGCGCTCACCACCGGTCTCAACGGTGGCACCCTCATCCTTGCCAGCCTTGATGTAACCCATAATGCGGTCGTACTGAAGCTGAGAGACCTGGGGACCCTGGAAGGTCTCCTCGTTGAAAGGGTCACCGACCTTGTTCTCCTCAGCTCGCTTCTTGAAAGCAGCGAGGAACTTGTCGTAGATGCCTTCCTGGACAAAGATACGGGTACCAGCACAGCAGCACTGGCCGTGGTTGTAGTAGATACCGAAGTTGACCCAGTCGATGGCCTCATCAATATCAGCATCGTCAAAGACGATGTTGGGAGACTTGCCACCAAGCTCGAGGGTGACCTTCTTGAGGTTGGAGGAAGCAGCAGACTTCATGATCTGTCGGCCGATGACGGTGGAACCAGTGAAGGCGATCTTGTCAACGTCCATGTGGGCGGAAAGGGCAGCACCGGCAGTCTTGCCGAAGCCAGAAACAAGGTTGAAAACACCAGCAGGGAAACCAGCCTGCTCGATGAACTGAGTGAAAACCAGGGCAGAGAGAGGAGTCTGCTCAGCAGTCTTCATGACAATAGTGTTACCAGTGGCCAGGGCAGGGCCAATCTTCCATGCCAGCATGAGGAGAGGGAAGTTCCATGGAATAATCTGACCGCAGACACCAATCTGAGAGATTTGTTAGTACAGAGAATGATGCAATTTGAATCAGGGGTGTCTTACAGGCTCAGATCGGGTATAGTGGAACATATCAGGGGCAATATCAATGGTCTTTCCCTCGATCTTGTCGGCCCAACCACCATAGTATCGCAGGCAGCCAACAACAGCGCCGACATCACCACGGGCGTTGGTGATAGACTTTCCGTTGTCGAGAGACTCAACAGCAGCAAGGAGATCGAGGTTCTTCTCAGCAAGGTCGGCAAGCTTGAGAAGGTAGTTGCCTCGAGCCTGAGGTGCGGTGTTTCTCCATTCGCCGTCGAAAGCCTTGCGGGCAGCAGTAACAGCCAAGTCGATATCCTTCTCAGTACCTTCACAGACGGAGGTGATGACCTCCTCGGTGGAGGGGTTGATGACCTCGAACTTCTGCTTGTCGACACCCTCGGTCCACTTGCCGTCGATGAAGCTAAATTGTATTAGTTTCTGAGTGAACAGAGTTCGATGCCGTATTCACTTACAGGCCGATGGGCTGCTGGTAGGTACCAGTAACAGGGGTGGACAGCTCAACAGTGAGGGGAGCCATTGTGTATGATATATGAGATGTTGTAGAGGAGAGGGAGGGTAATGGGTATCAAATGAGGCTGTCGATAGAAGAGAAGAGTGAAGAGGAGATGATGAGATGATCTGGAAAAGAGACTGGAAAAGTTGACGACGGGAAGGGAGTATTTATTCTTGAGAATGACGCGGGGTTTTTGCATGGAAGAATGGAAGTAGGGGACTAAGGGGGGGGCGCCCATCGGGGTGCGATGTGCCGTATGTGAACCTCGGTGGAGTGGAGGAGGGGTGAAGTTCAAGTGACGCCAACTTTCCCCGCAACAGCCTCGCCTCTCACACCTGGATGAACATGGATCCCCTGGTACGTACTGGTTTCTTGCTACCTGAAAAAGGAAATGCGATGGATTGCACCGGGTTACCGCTCACACTGAGACCCCCAGCGGACGGACGGGCACCCCATAGCTTTGCGGAGCCTTGTCGTGGCGGTGGTGGACAAGAGATGGTTAGCATGGTTAGTAGTCGAAACGTCACGTAAGTTGTCCTGTTAACATGGACTGCAGCATTAGCCCAATCACATTACAGCAAAACCCGAAGAATAGGACTTGCTCCGAAGTGGTTTCGGGACGGCTCAAGGGCAGAAGCAGAGCTCTCCTCTAAGCCGGTAACAAGCATCGCAACGCAACCCCAGACCACATCACATTCATGTCAGGCAACGATTTGACTGAACCGCGGGGCAGAGCAGGGATGTTTAAGCAGTACTACCCAGAAAGAAGCAGTTATAATGTCAGCAAATGTTACAGTCATTATGTTTGTACTGCAGTACTTCAACGTGCCCAGCGCCTTTGATCACTGGACCGATCAACTGTCCCTTGATAGACTACTAACTGCTCCATCGGATCTTGCTACTGGTTCTGTCATGGCCTGTAACCCTTTTGCTTCCACAGCTCTCTGGACTCCCCGCCAAAGTGGATGGATCTGACGGTTTCTGCAAATCACAACAGCCGGCAGAAACAAGGTCCAGACATGCCGCCACCACATGCTCCAAGCTCTCTCCCCACATCCGAGCCACCAGTGGCCAATGGTGGGGTTGCAGGGGCCTTTATGGGCCTTGGAGGAGGGGATCTGCGCCAAAGAGGACAAGCTTAAGAACACGAAATTCAAAGTGAACAAGAATTGTCAAGCATGCCACAGCGTTACTTGTGAGGCAAAGTAATAGCTTGTGCTGCTACTGGACGACATGAATAGCCTCAAAATCACTGTATAAAACTTCATGGCCCTGAACTGGGCGTCTCTCGAAACCGTTGAGAGCACTGACAAATCAATCTGGGTTATCAATGATGCATGCACAACCCCCGGAGCCGACACCAGGTACAAGTACACGCACTTACAGTTGAGAGGTGGTAATGCGCCGCAATAAGACAGGGTCTCTCACTGGGGACCTCAGACTTGATCCGCACATCAATCTCAAATAGCTTGGACAGTTTCATCGTTGGGCGACAACTCACTAACCATTCGGTGTGATTTGCTAATAATGCCGTAGGCAGTGAAAAAAATGTTGCTAAAACAACCCATAATTCATCTTACTGGACAATCTACATAGTAATCAAGATAAGCCTTATTGCAAACTCAACCGGAATATACATCGAACCGCACTTCGGATCCTTGTCAACCCCAGCATCAGGTTGTGTCTATTCAGCGATACACCTGTTTCGGACTTACGGTAATCCTGCTATGTATTAGCGCTTGAAGATGGACGTACGTTTTCTGCATATCCTTTCAGTCCATCCGAGGCCGCGGAGTTGTACAGGGTATCAATTATCCCTCAGCTCAGTCGACTCAGCTTGGTTGGCCAAGCGCTGTTTACATGATAAACCCATTACCGTATTTCCTGGGAAGATCATTCGACCGTTCTTCAATATGAACGCCACTTGGATCGAGTATCAAAAACACACTTGCTTTCTACGCATTCTTCTATAATTGTTGCTCATTCAAGCGGGTTCACGGGAAAGCTGTTCCCTCCACAGTCTAAGCGGCGACATCGTGTAAGATGTTAGAAGCTGTTTGTTTAAACATATACTGGCATAATACATGTTTAACCTCCTAGTCAGTTCATCAATAATGCTGGCTACCCTAATGTCGATTACCTACTCCAGGGGCCACACCCCACATTGACCTTGCGGGATCTGGATTACCTTGGGGTCTATTGATGTCCAATCTTCGTTTTCCTCGATGGCTGTGTTGCCAGCACTGGCACTAGCACTACCTGGTCATTTGCTGGAGGGCCGTGCTCAGATCTTCACATCTACAGTGCCATTCGATGTGGTTCCCCTCCCTAAACAAAACCCTTCTGTGACCTCACCTACCCCTTCGGTGTATCTTGTGCGAGCCTCCTCAAACTCCACAGAAAACACAGAAAATATTGAATCTTTCCTGACTCTCGCTGCTCGTTGCTGGGGGACCGAAGGAGGGTCCTTGGAAACGCTCGGCGTAAAGATGAGCGAGCATCAAACGGACCCCGCACTGACATAGAGCTGCCCTCGTTCTTCTGCGTCTGTCTGTGTTTCGACCAGGTCATGAGTGGCTCTCCAATTTCTGGGGCAGCCGTTCATCCTAGCCCCGAGTACACATTCCCAATTCTGTCTAGCTTTTCTCCCCATGTACCACCCCCCGTGACGTTCCCTAAGGCCGACGAGACGTTGGAAAGCCTCGTGCAGTTCTTTTTGGCTCGCGGACCCGCAGGTTTGTTGGTGGTCATGAGTAATTGCGGCTCCGCTGCGTCTCCGTCTCGCCGGCAAAGGCGGGGACGGCCCCACACACCCACCCCGCCTCCGATTCAACCTCTCCCCAGGCTCACATTCTAAGCGCCCTGAACTTTTCCCCTTTACGGCCGACTTTGAACATGGCCACATGGGAAAGATGCGCCTCGTTCTTCATGGTCTGCGGCTCATAGCGACTTTCCCAGGCACCCACCGTACACCAGCACTTCTGGATCAGTAGCCTTACGCTTCAGCAGTGTTAATTTCACTTTCTGAGAGACTAGCCACTTCTAAGGTGACCCCATCCATCATATTCACGACATTCCTTCAATATGATAGCTTTTCTCGAGAGCCGCAAACTTACATAAACTTTCAGCCCTGCTCGTTGCCTCCGCAAATTGGCCCAACGGCAGTCTCGCTGCACGCGACATGATAGATCATATGCTCCCCACAAACGAGAGCCGCAATTACTGAGATTGGGGATGACAGGACGACATTGGGGACCCCAACATAGGGATACATACCTTGACGAAGCCCATCCGCTATCTTCAAAACTGCGGCATTGACGGATCCGCGACTTCATGCTTGCTTTTTACCCCGCCAGATCACTTGTCTTTCTCCGTACATACCGTAGGTACGACTACCCCACAAACGGGACCGCAGGCCGCAGTCTTCTCCTCATCCCCGACTTCAGGGACTTGTTGGGTCGGCGGCGGCTCCGTTCTTTTCCTGGGGTGGGATTAGATGTGTCAAGCTAGAAGTCTGCAGGTAGATCTGACCCCAGACTTGTGCTTACCATGGAATCATGATGGCAGGTGAATGTGGAGGAATGATAGGCTACCATGCCGTGGGCTGGATTTGACAGGCATCTCCTATCGCCCGGCCCAATGGTAGTTGGACTTAGACTAGACTAGTGTTTCTCTCAACGTCTCATACATTGAATCTATGGGCTGATGTTGCTGGGGCGGTTGATGAGTCGACCGGTTGCCGGTAGTGTTCGGGAGTTGCAAGGCCCCGCCCGCATGCCCCAGATTCTCCAGATATGAATGAAGGCATTAAGCTCTGTTGCTGTTCCTTACAGTCCTGGTCTAGTACTATTTCTTGCCCTCAGATACTTTTGGTTTCGAGGGTTATAATAATGGTTATGTTCCCTCGTTGGCTTCATTTCCTGCATCACAGCCGTCGTTATTCAAAACAGAGAGATCCTCGCTACTCTCCTTCATTAGGCTTTACAGAATAAATGCTTAAACAAAAGCTGTTCCCGATGCGCTAGCTCTTATACTGTGAGAAACCTAGTATGACTAAACTAGGCTCCATTGACGGGCAGCTGCTGTGCTTGAGGTAACTGGCAGCACTACCTGATGCTAGATGGATTAGATTTCCGAATGCTAAAATGAAAACCACTAGTTTTCACGATACCCTCAATCAAGCAGAAAGAGAAAATGCTTGAGAGAACAAAGGCCACCATCTCCCGCTTCCTTCTGGTTTATAGCATGTGTTCTATTTCTTCTTGGGCGTCCTGACCGAAGCTTTGATGTAGAATACCTACTCATCATCACCAATTGGTGCGGGAGGTTGAACCTGGCTTCCAAAGTATATTGTCGATTGCGAAAAAAATACTTTTTTGAATCTTTCGCCATGGGAGTAAGGCACCTATTTGTTTGCTTATGGCTCCGGGTAGCTGCAGTGCCAACATTTAATTTAGGTTGGCACTGATTCACAGCGCAGCCTTACATAGGCCCTGGCCCCTCTTCGTAATAATATGCAGGAGCCTTTCCTTTTCACACTCAGCCTGATCGCGTAATATTCACATCCTTTTCTTCGCGACTCAACACACAAAAGTTTCCGCCGAGCAACATTCCGGCTTCTTGTCTTTCTTTGTTTCACTTCAACATGGCAGTACTAGACAAGGTTCCTCTTATCACTGCACGTGTTCGAGTAGCTGGGGAGCTCGCGACAGAATATGACCCCCTTGATGACCACGAACCCGTGATCAATCTTGACAAGAAAGGCAGCAAGATCCCTACAAGAAACTGCTACATTGAGTCCAAGTCAGGCGCTGAGTTTGCCATCGAGATCACGGTTTCTGATAAGTACCAACCTCCAAAGTCCCACGATACCTTGATTACCGAAGTCTACATCGACGGCCAATGGAGGAGGGGCAAGGTCATGCACGTACCTCTCTCTCGTGGCAGGGAAAAGACCATCATCATCTCATCTGGGAGGGCTTCACGAGAAAAAATGGGGGAGAAACCAATGATCGGCAAGTTTGTCTTTGCTCCTATCAATAAAATCTGTAAGTCTACTCCGTACCTTCTAGTCAATCTTTCTTTACTAAGGTTACAGCCGATCCCATGAGCGCCGATAAGCTCAACGAGGACCTTGAACGCGCGGAAACCTTGGGAACAATCCGACTGTGTCTTTCCACAGGTAGATATAAAGGGACGAGGCCCCGGAAACATTCTTCCCGCTGTTCCACCAGCCGAGAAGTAGAGTTAGCGGAAAAGGCGCTGAAAGGCAAGGCAATAAGCCACGCAACCACGTATATTGTGAAATACCCGTTTATCGGAAGAAAGTTCTAACATAGATGTATAGACTGGCCGAGACAACCGAGAAACCTTCTTCCCACAAAGCAATCACTACTAACCGGCGACTGGTGGGAGAAATCTTCTTTCGTTATCGATCCTACCGTATGCTCCTTCACCTATACAATCATTGCTTATCGCACAACGACTCTCTAACTTTAGATACAGAGGCACTCCAACATGAGATGATTATCCCACGCACACCGTCGCCTGAGCCCTCAGCTACAACTAGCATCGATGCAAATGCCCTTTCTCTCCTCTCCGAGAGTGACATTCGCCGTCTCGCTCTGGAAAGACTGCGTGATACCCAGGTAAGGCAGATAATCTACACAGGAATTGCGAACAACTTGAGACTTGGCTGGTTTGGTCGTTTACTGTCGTGTTTGGACTTATTTTACTGACTTGGTTTAGATCAAGAATGAGTTCTCTCCTGTCAAGCGGGAGGCAGAGGAAGCCTCCCAATCGCCCCGACGATGGAAGTTCGTAAAACTGAATGATGGGAAAGAGGCTGTCGATCTGACAGATGATTGATCTCGGTATGAAAATATCCCTTTGGAATTGGCTCGTGGTCATGTTGGTCAATACCTTCATTGTTCTGGAGTATTTTGAGGAGCAAGATACCTGTGGATGTTCGGCGCGCAGGGACTAAGCGGTGGACAATGTAGTCATGTTTGGCGGGCATTGTGAGAATATTCATAACTTTTTTTCACAATCTGGTCTACTATTTCGTCCTATACAAAGCTGAACGCATTTGCTCAAATCAGTGATTGTTGGGCTGTCGTTTTTAGTTGGCTATAGGTACGGAGTACCTTAGTGTAGATCTGCTGGCCGAGGCTTATTAGTGCGGCCAAGCTTGTACCTGCAACGTCAGCCGTGATTGGCTGCTATAGCTTGCTGCTAAACGCTAACGTGAACCTCCTCCATCTCCTTTCGCGGAATACCCCATGACGTTGCAGTTTAACTCCTCCCTCGATGACCAGCTCTTCACTTTTCATCAACATTGTATTGTCGCCGTCCCTGGATCCTCCTCCGCATCGAACTCGAACATGCGCACGTATAGAAATGCAGCATTTGCCGTCTCATAGCCGCCCCCACGTACGCGCTCGTCGCTGAGCGGCCTCCTTACCCGCAATGGCTCCAGAAGCTCCCAGCAATATCCGTGTCTTCATACGCTGGCATGACCAGACTGTCTTCGCCGGCGAGGAAGTCAAATGTACGATTACTTTTAAAAACGCGGCACCAATACCAGGCCAGCCAAAACCACAGCCGCAACAATCGGAACGAAGTCGACTGGCCTCGCCTTTGCATGGTCGCCCCAAGCTAAACCAAGGATTAACGCCACCACCGTCAGCATCTTCCGGCAGAGGGCATCGTCGTTCTGCCCTCTCTTTAAGCGTTCCTGCATCGCAATCACATAGCCGTACTGGCTCAGTTCAATGGCCTTCATCAGCAGGCTCGAGTGATGGTCGCTCAAGCCACTCTCATAAGCGCTCTGTTTCCATTGTCTCGATAGGGTCCAATAATACCGTGGAAGACCACACACAACGAAATGATTTACCGTCGCGACCTCAAAGACCGCATCGAGGCCATGGGCGGGCCTCAAGTTTACAGATCATTCCTCGAGCGCAGGGCCAGCTCCCAACCGGGCCTCATTCCGGTTCGTCGCTTGCACGGTATCATTTGAACTAGGAGCTAATTCTTCTCAGCATCTTTTTCTCCTCGTCTCTCGAGCTCTCCTTTGTTCCACGCATCATATCCCCCACCTGACCGATTCGGTCGCATATCGCGACCGCCAACAACTCCTCACACACCTATTACAGCCGGCCAACGAAGATCCTCACCGCTACAAATGTCGGAAAACCCAATGCCGGAATTTCGCTTTCCTGCCGCTCCCTCGCCTGCTCGAGAAGCACGCCCAAGCTTATCTAGACGATCAACAAACGAAAATATGCTGAGCCCTAGGAACGCTGTGAGCGATTCCAGCGGACTGTCAATGCGCCTCAAGGACGGCGTTCCGACGATCAACGAGCAGCCTGCACCCGCGGCCCGTATTCTAGCAAGCAGCGGCGTCCTCGGAGGCACACCGCGGAGTAGCGGAGAGTTTTACTCTGTCAGCAATAACTCGTCAGAAACTCTGGTATCGGAATATGTGACACAGCAACCAACTAATCGTGGACACGCACACCCACTTAGGAGAAGCCTTGGTATGCCGGCCCCACAGTCGAGAGCGCCTGAATCTTTGATGATGGGGTATGCTCAATTACACGGCTCTTTCTCGTTAGACGGGTCCCTTGTCAGTCTCAGCCAATTTGACCAAGTCAAAAAGAAAGCCATAGTTGGCCAAGGCGGTGGTGTCGTCGGTCTCGAGTCCAAGCGCGACAGCGGTCTTCTGGGGGGATTCGGATGGGGTCGCATCAGCAGCTCTCTGGGCGATTTCTTAGGTGGAGGGGAGCTCAGCACGATCAAGGAAATGCGTGGGGTTGCGAACTCGAAATCTGTACCTCTCTTGACTACACCGCAGTCCATTTTATTCGTTGATCTGCAGCTTGCGCCAGGAGAGAGTCGAGTTTTCGAGTACTCTTTTCGACTACCAAAAGGTCTTCCTCCGTCCCATCGCGGAAAGGCCGTCAAAATCACATATAGCTTGGTTATTGGCACGCAGAGGGCTGGAGGAACCAAGGAGCAGCAAGTGAAGTCTGTTGAAGTTCCTTTCCGCGTACTGGGAAGTGTTAACAGCCACGGTGAGATATTGGGACATGACCTGATGAACCCTTACATCCTATTACGGGACCAGGCCCAAGTGAAAAGTCCCTCGAGCAGTGATAAGGGATCAAAAACCAACGGCAATGGGGCCAAAGGACAACAGCCTGCCCTGAACAACTTTTTACTTTATGTGGAAGACCTGGTTCACCGACCGCGAGATGAGAGTGGCAGTATTCTTCTTTCTCCGGCCGCTGGTAACTCGAGGCGACCATCGGCATTCGAGGAAGCCAGCAACGCACACGATGCTATTCATATGGCAATCATGAGAAGCAATATGACCTCTGGCGGGCAGCAGAGCCCGAACCGGTTCGAAATTGCACGCAATGGGCAAAGGGTTGGTGTAGTGATGCTCACGAGGCCTGCCTACCGACTAGGGGAAGCTGTGACAATGGCCATCGACTTTACAGACGCTGATATTCCGTGTTACGCCGTGCATACTACATTGGAAACATCAGAGAAGGTAGACCCGTCGTTGGCAATAAGATCAGAGTCGAGCATCCACCGAGTGACCCGGAAAGTTTATTCGTCTTCATCTGAAGCAACAATGTACTCACGACGAGTCACCTTCAATCCAACGATTCCTATCACTGCAACTCCTGAGTTTGTTACCAGTGGTGTCAGCTTGGAATGGAAGATTCGTATCGAGTTTGTGGTGCCATCCTCGGGAAGCGATTCTCCCATTGAGCACGAAAGACGAGCACCACATCCATTACTGGAGCAAATTTCACAAGATGAAAAGGGGGGGACGGTCCTGGTGGCAGTGGAAAATCTAATATGTGAGAGTTTTGAGATCGCCGTACCTCTACGTGTTTACGGCGCAGTTGGAACAGGACTAGAGCGGCTTGAGCGGGACGAGGCTTCTGAAGAAGGCCTTGTTGTATGAAGAGAGTTGGACTAACCATATATTTGGTGCTGGGTATTGGATATTTACTACTATGGGATCTGAAACAGCTCTGTTTATAAGGCAAAGAGCTTGTTGCAAATAGAACATTGGAGCTTGTATGACAGATCAAAAAGAGCGGGAGCACTGGTAATTGAAGAAATTAACTTGTTCTGGTAAGAGCTATTGGCGTCAAGGATTTTGCGAAATGGATGTCCCCAGGATTATCTGTGTGCCTTGAAGCTGTGTTGGCAAATGATAGACCAACAGTCCACTGTGATGACGATGTGTTCGAGTCTTCAGACGGCTGTTAACACGGGACGGTGCACAGATGGATTCCCTAGTTTGAGAGCTAGGACTATAAGTTGACTAGCTTCCCATGGCTAATGCTAGGACTCTAAACCAAGATAAGAGCGAGTAAGACAGATCAGAATTAAATGGCACAAACATCATAAGCTCAGAATAGCTGAAGGCAAGACTAAAGACCCAGGGCTGGCAGAACGGGACGGGGCTGGGTATATCCTCATTTCGCAAGGGACCGGGATTAGACAAGCGGGTGACGACTATAGACGAATAAGTAAGGCTGCTTTCCAGGGATGAAAATTTCTTAGTGGGATTTGCTTCTTTCGTTCATTATCGCAAAGATACAGAGGTAGCTCTCTGGTGTGCGTGTGTTTTGTTGTTGTTATTGATAATAGGTCAGCTGGTTGGTAATAGTGGCTGCTGGCTCGACAACGAGATGGGGTATTGTGAGAAGACAGAGCGAGAGCGACATCATCATACGGCTTAAACTGAATTTTCTTTCCACTTTCATGGAAGGGGTCTTTGCATATCCGTAGTAGCTGAGGAGTCACGATTATCGCGTAAACATATGTAAGAGCTGGGAACGTATCCAGGGGTTCAACATCATTGTCAGTTGTCACCAACAAAGACTCTGGGTTCAATATTTACCACCGTCCAGGCCTGAAGTGATTGTGAGGTGACAGCCACTAACGGGAGAGCTAGACGGCAAGGATCAAGCCGCCAAGAACCAGCTTGCTCAGGCCACTGCCGATACCAAAGAGCAGCCCGTGAGATAAACGTCAAGGACTTGGCTCTCATCAAAGCACCAAAGCCCCTGGACAACGAATAGACAAGGGTCCATGTAAACAACCCAGCAGAACAACTGCTTAGGCGCCCACCGAGGACATGGAGTTTGGACTTGGTCTTTGATAGGTATGATTAGACTATGATATTGACGGGAAGGGAATGGGCTGGGGTTGGTTTGAATGAGAGTCATCAGCATTCCATCCCACAAGTTGGTGCGAACCTTTTTTTTTTCTCTCTCTTCCCTTTCCTCCTCACCAACCGCTTTCGTTGGGAGCCCAGATCCAATGTTGCCATTATTTTCAATCTTCTTTGTCGCTCACTAACCAAACTTTGCCAGTCATTGTAAGTTGCTCATTCGCTCTAAAGAGGTCGCTGTCCCGACCTCTCCGCTACAGCAACCTACCTAACTGACGCCTCATGCGCAGCCTTAGATATTTCCATCTCTTGCTTTCTGAATCTCGCAGCCATTAGCCCCCGCAGGCCCGCAGCAGCTTCCCGACTTACACCGCCCGCCATCCACTTTTGCAAACATCATCTTGCTTCTGCTGCTCTTTTGTTCGTGGGCAATGGGAATTGGCTGTTCATTCTTTAGTTCTACTGTTGTTCTTTTATCGTAAAGGAAAAAGATTTCGGTGTTCTCGTCGCTCTTTCACGCCTCTGTGCTTGCACTTCCGATACTTCACCCATTACACCATCTAAATCCACACTAGACAATCTTCTCGACGACAAACCCACCAAAATAACATCATCAAGTGTCAATGGAGGAAACATGGCTGCGACACCTTCCAACGGTCGTTTAAAACTCACTCCTTCCAACTCTCCTTTTCTGGCTCGCCCTTCTAGATCCTCTAGATCGCCTATGCGTGGTCGCGCACACGATGCTTCGAAGTTATCCCTCCAGCGCGTTATTGGCACAACATGTTGCTCTCCCACAGGATTCGATACTCTCCCGTCTGTCTTTGCATACATAGCTGGAGGTGCTGTTATAGTGGTGGATGTTAATGGCGATAATCACACTCAACGTTTCTACCGAGCCCGACCGACTGCCGTCCCACTCTATTCCGTAGCAACCTTTCAAAACACACCCACAACGCCCTCGGGAACACCAAAGGCGAACGATAGTCGGGGACGTGTAGGCCCGCGGTTCCCTAACTCACCACACACTTCGTCCGACTGGAACGAGTCTCCTAGCAATACCTGGACAAGTCGCGAGCGGATCAAGGCTGCAACATGCCTTGCGTTGAGCCGCGATGGAAAATACTTAGCTGTCGGCGAGACCGGATACTCCCCACGAGTTCTTGTTTTTAGCTTGCACGATACTTCTTCTGACAGCCCTATTATATCGATCAGCGAGCATGCTTTTGGGGTCAATTGCGTTGCGTGGTCTGCAGACACCCAATATCTTGCGTCTCTAGGAGCCGCCAACGATGGATTTCTCTATATCTGGAAGGTCGACCCTCGCACAGGCGCGGCTAGACTTTACAAACAAAACCGATGCACATCATATGTGAAAGACATGGTATGGATGGGCAATTCTCTCATCACATTTGGCGTCCGTCACGTCAAGATGTGGAAACCTGATGATGGCCCAACTATTTCGCCTACGAAGCAGAAGTTCTTCAGTGAACAGCCGGCCTCTACTCCACCCTCCCAAAGAACCCTACCAGGGCGTAACATCCTGCTAGGACCTCTCTTGGAGGATACTTTTACTTGCGCTGCTGTCGTCAAAAACTCTAGCCTCATCATTTGCTCAGAAACGGGTGGTGTATGTATCATGGCGGAGGACGACAGACAGATGAAATTGCAGAAGGTCCTTGGTTTGGACTTCTCCATCTCGACTATTGCTGTCAAGGACAATATTGCCTATGTTGGTGGCAGACATGGCCATTTTGCTGTGCTTGACATTGAAGCTGTTTTGGACGCCCGATTGCCGTCCGCGTGTATAAAAGAGGCCACATTCTGCCCCCCAGGACAAGTTGCCCTGGGTTTTCTGACGCATAAGCTTGTCACTATTGATTCGCAGCAGTCCATTGACATCTGGAGCTCAGACCATGTGCCTGGCAAGGATACCAAGGCAGTGGCCAGCATTCCTATCCCTGGACATGGTCAACCTGTTACAGGCATACAAGTTCTGGAGCGACCAAATGATCTGAACGCTTCGTTTTTGACATGGACAGTGTCTGGGAATGTTTCCTTCTGGACATTGGAAGGCCAAGTTCAAGCCTCCATTGATGTACCAATTGGAATGACCGAACCAGAAAACGAACTGGATTCGGCTAACCAACTTACCTGCGCCCGGGCAACGAATGATGGTAAACTTCTTATTTCCGCCGATAGAATGGGCGTGTTACGAATGACGGACATCGCCACAAAGGAACCTGTTTTAGACATCAAGGCACATACAGCTGATTGTCGGTCCGTCAGTGTCTATGACAGGGATGGCAAATTTCTCATGGCGTCTTGTGGACGAGACAGAACTGCACAGCTCTTCCACCGGACTGCAGGCGGATCCATTGAGCATTTTCAGACATTGGAATTCGCTGCAAAGGTCGTGCAGGTTATGATTCCGTCCGAAGACAAGGTGTTGACCTGTTCATTTGACCGAACATTACAAATCTACGATATCATCACAAAAGAGGGCGATCCCGATTCTGTTGCCGCTATCCCTTCCAGAGTAATTTCACTCCGAGCCTCGCCTAGCTCAATGGTTTTGGGCATGGGCCAAAGAACTGTCTTTGTCTCTTTACTAGATCGGTCTATTTGCCAATACGAACTCAACACGGGACGTAAGATCTCTTGCTTCAAATGTCAAGACGAGACAAAAGGCGAGTCGGCAGTTCTTGACTCGCTCTGTTTTGGGCAATGGCCCCCCAAAGACCAAGACTTCCTCCTCGGAACATCCAACACAGACAAGTCCATTCGACTCTACGATGCCCAGACTGGGAGCTTCTTGGACCGAGAATGGGGTCACACCGAAGCGATCAACGGTGTTTGCCTTATCGAAAATGATGATGGAAGCCGTAAGGTTGTGAGTGTCGCATCGGATGGAACAATGATGATATGGGGTCTGGATTTAAGTGATTCTCCGCCTAGTTCCACGAGTAGAGAACCGTCGCCAGCCAAGGACTCTGTATCAGGACGACCGCCACTTCGCAGGGTCTTATCTAAGGCTGAGCTAGCTGAATTCCAACGACCTTCGCCGACATCTGGTCGGAGATCCCCACCCCGAACATTACAGCGGAGGACTTCGCGATTCAACTTGGCCGCTAGCGTCAGAACACCTACACAGGGACTCCCAACAAGCCCTAGTGGCACATTGGCAGAAGATACACCGTCAAGACGGCCTTCTGCCGACCCGCGGAATAGTCCCCCAGTGTCTCCAAAGGGAAAGGTCACCAGACGACCTTCTCTTCCAACTCTAGGCTTAACTGCACGCAAAAAGACGTCCTCGTCAAACTTGCGAGGCTTTGGCTCGTTAAATATGGCGACAGAACAAACCTGCCGTCAACTTAGATCATACAGGAAGAAGCTTGCTTCCTCGGAGCCCATTAGCCAAGAAAACCTGACAGAGCTAGATCAGGAGTTGCGACTGACGGCAGCAGCTCTCGGTGACCGGGCTATCCGAAGCAGAGCCATGAACGAGACGGTCCTGAGTGGTCTCCTGGATCAATACTCAGAGAGACTAGTAACATTACTGGACGAAAAGCTGCGTCTCAGCTACCAGCCGAGATCTCCGACTGAAAAGGACGGAGACAGTCGAGACGGAGATAGTCCAGATGAAGAGGCTAGGCGCAGTATTAATGGATCCCCAAGTTCGCTTTCTCCTTAAGGCTTTGTCCTTGCCTGTTTATGAAGGACCACTTTCTTTTATTCTCGTTATACTTGGACTAAGAGGGCAACGGCGTTAAATGGTGGTGGATTTTATGGGATGGGCGGCGGGGGAATAAGGCAAGCATCAAGTGTATCTTGATGCCAAGTTCCAATATGATACCATGGGTCTGGAGTTTTACTGTTACTTTGTCAGGGATAAAATAATCCTTTATCATAGCCAAAACTAGCACTTCTTGCCAATGCAATGGACGTGATCAGGCACCCAAATGCTCTTCTCGCGTTAATCAACAAGTCCAGCTGAATCTTTCATAAAATTAATAGATTGAGTGACCAAAACACACATTTTTCGTTTTCCATGGTCGCTTGCCGCGCCTGCTGCGTGTTGGTGTTCAGGGGTATCACGTGCGGAGCCAGGCTTTAGCGTCAATGCAGCTTGGACGAACTCAGCCCAATTTTTCTTCCCTGCATCATCGAAATCATCAATCAACATTATCGGCGATTTAAATCACGTGATATTCTGGCAGACGAGATCGCCCAGACGAGCAAAAAATTACTACACCATTAGTTCGACGATCGAGCGCGTTTCGCAACAAGAAGCCCAAGAAGCCCAACGCATCCGATGAAAGGCCTAGAGGTCGCCATAGACGGTTCTGGAGTCACTGATTAAGGTTGCCTGTACGTGTTTGATTGAGAGGACCCCGACCATGACGTAGCTATACCTGTGTCGCGACAGACGCCTAACTAGAGTACCATAGACCGTGGCGCCAGTCCATCTTCTTGCTCGACGTGAAGGCCCCTTGGATAGCTGGCGAGGTGGACCGCGGGGCATGACTCAACCAGCCTTCCACACGCCCCTCGAGTCGCTGCTATTATTCCAGTCGTTGGTAGACCAAGGATTCGACAATGGGGTCTTCGCGCGCATCTCTGAGCAACTCATCAACAACGCGCTCGTCAAGGAAGGATCTACCTATGATCCTGCACGATTAAGACCTGATGCGCTTCAACATCTTTTTCTGCGACTCTTGGGGGATGAACTGAGGGGTGAGCACGAGAAGGCTGCGACCGACGATCCGACAGCATCACCGAACTCGCGAAAACGAAAGCTTGGGAGTCCAACTTTACCAACACTTAAGGAGATTTACGAACATATCGACAAGATCCCCCCGCTTATGGATCGCCTATATGCGCGATATAAGGATAATACCGTCGCGCAAATTCGAGAGGATGAGCGCCGCTTCGAGACATTCCAAAAGGAAATTCAAGCACTGGAGCGATGTGAACGAGAACGACGTGCTAGAGTCGCGAGCCAGAATGGGACACCCGTACTTGCTGCTCGTGATCAGAAGCCTTCCGTTGCGCCTAACGGGTCAACATCCTCACCTGCTACGGCAACAAGCTCGGCGGCACCAGTTCGAAGAGGCCCAACACAACAGACACCTGTGATCCCACCCAAACCGCCTGTCTCCCACAACACACAACCAACAGTTGCACCACCTAGCCATATACCAACTGGAGCTGCATCGATCCGACCTTCGATCTCACCAACTCCGCCAAATTCTAACGGGTCGGTGCTTCAGCCTCCAGCAGGCGTCCCTCAGACAACACCACGACCATTGCAGGCGCCACAACCTCTTAAGCAGAGCCCTGCTCCAAGACCAGACAACGGGGCCAAGCTGAAGGATGGCAATGCGGCTTCAGGAGCCGCTCTTAAGTGGGAGAAGCCTTATCAACCGCCACAGACAGCTACACCACCTCCTCGGCAGGTTCAGTCACCCGTTGCCCAGGGACCAACAGCTCCTCCGCAAGCGCAGCAACAACAGCATCTACAACAACACCCACAGCAGATACCATCGCAGCAGCATTGGTACCCACAACAAACTGCTCAATTCTCTCCTAAACCCGGTGCTCAGCCATTATCTCATCCTCAAACGCCCCAGCAGGCTCGGCCACAACCTGTTGCTCCACAACCTCCCCAGGCACAGTCTCAAGCTCAAACTCATCATCAACAACGCCCTCACCCTCACCAGGTTATTCAGCCACTACCACCAACGCAGCCAGCCCCCCACACTCCTCGGGCTCAGCACGCTACGCCGACACAACATACTCAACAAATCCAAAGAAGCAAGACGCCTACACACGTACAGCACGCTCAGGCTCAACAAACTTCACAAACTCAACCTGTCACCCATGCTCAGCCCCAGTCTGTGCCACAACAGCATCAACAGAAGCCACGGCCGAATGCCGCAAAACCAGGCCTGGCACCACCGCAGCATGCTGGTCAGCTAGCCCCTCCCTTACAGCCGGCACCTCCACGACCAGTTGCAGAGTCGCCCGGAGGCCAAACACTCCATGCCCGTCCGTCTTCCAAGACGCCCGTGCCACATCCTCGCCCTATCCAACCCCCCCAAGGGCAGACTCAGCAGGTCCGGCAGATTGCCGCAGGATCCCCAGCTCCTATCACAGCAAGTGCAGGTTCCATTGCCCCTCCTCAGCAACGTTGGCCGCTTGGATATCAACCTCAACCCCAGCATGGCTCACCTGTCAGCTCTCCTGTGCCATCGGCATCTAAAGCTGACAAGGCTCAATCATCGCAATACGCTAATCAACCTCCACGACCTGGCGTTTTGGGCCACATCATTCGCCAGGCTCTAAATACTCCGATTAAGAAACTGGGGACGCCATCGGCACCGCACACGCCCATCTCAGCAACACCCACTCACGTTACTCACGGGTTTGGAACAAAATGGGCTCCACATTCCACTCCGTCCACTCCGGGTCCTGGTCATATGAGTGCAGCACCTCAAAGTCCAGCTTATGAGCCGGTTAGTCCTCCTCAAAAGCCTGTACCATTACCGAGCTCTGCTGGGTCAACACCAAGACCGTTGAGAAAGCAAGCGCCCAAAGCAGCTTCGAAAGTCGAACAGACCGTCTCTAAGTCTGCACGCGGCCGGTCTGCCAGAGCCGGGCAGAAGGCTCGCGCAGTTAGTTCCACACCTTCTGTCAATCGATCCAGGCGAAGCCAATCTATCCTCTCTCACACTGATGAGCCTCCGACTCAAACAAGTGAATCAGCACCCAAAATTAAGGATGAAGATGCTACACCTCGTCCCACCGAAGACACAGGCGATACTACCGCCGATGAGAGCGTCCCTGGTCGGCCCCAAATAATGACTCCTGGCAGTGTCTCTTCGCGCCTCCATAAACGAAAAAGGCAAATTACACCGATCAACCCACCACCCGAGACAACTCAAGTTCTTTGGACGCGGGGTTTCACTAAAGTTTCATCATCTGCTCTGGATCAGATCTCTAGCCACCGAGATGCAAACATGTTTGCCAACAAGCTCCGTGAGAAGGACGCGCCAAATTATCGCCAGATTGTGCTGCAGCCTCAAGATATAACATCCATTCGGGCTGCTATCAAGCATGGGAATAAGGCGGCTGTTCAGGCTGCAGCCAGTCTTCCCGGCGGTGATCCTGGTACTGCGCACGTATGGCTACCTATATCTAACGAGCTTGTTCCTCCAAAAGGCATTATCAACAGTGCCCAGCTTGAGCGCGAACTTGTCCACATGTTCTGCAATGCCATTATGTACAATGCTGACCCCGATCGTGGTCCTGGGCCTGCCTTTATGAAACGCTCCCAGGACGAGGAGGAGGAGGAAGTAGTGGGCTACCGCCTGGACGAGAATGGCGTTGTAAAAAATACCCGCAGCATGTTTGTTGAGGTCGAGAAGCTCTTAGGTGATCTACGAAGTGCAGAAAAGGAGCGTAGCGCGCCTCCACCTTCAGCTGTTCGTCCAGCTAGCGTCGCTACACCCGCTGAGGAAACGGGCGATGACGAAGATGAGGGTGAACGTGAGACTGGAACAGCCAAAAGGCGTCGCATAGGAGCCCGGGGTTGATCGTCCTGATATGCACCAATTTGAAAGACCAGTGTGTCTTTCTACTGAATGTCGGCTTCATGACCTGCAAAGGGGGGCAGCATCTAATTTTTATTATTATTGTGTACAGCGTCTAGAATAGCTAGCCCATTGATAATCACCAACTGATCCAGACTTGGGTCACTTTGACTGAGGCCTCTTTTCTGCGTAATTCATTCCCTTTTCGTAGGCCAGTGACATGCCCGATTACACTGCGGTAAACTCCCTGCGCCTTTTGCCAATATTCATGTGTCATCATCCCATCATCAGGTCTAGGGTGCTGGAATTATTCGAGCTTCGGAGCACCTAGTGATGTGCTTGACCGATTACTATGTGCACCCTTCTTGGAACTTGCATCATCATCGGCAGGTCTCTTGCGAGGCCAGTCGGGGCATATATCGATGTTGTCCCTCGGAAACCACCACTCTAGAAACAGAAAAAAGAGGTAATCCACAACACAACAAAGACAGAAGAGCTTTCCAGCCCAGATACCACAACCATAGTAGCGCTTGAGACGATCTATAAGAGCAAAATTACGTATGCGGCTACCGTAGCCTGATGTATCAACGCCGTAGAATTCGTCCTCAGGGATGGTGCCCGAAATGCCGTCATAAACGCGCTCCGTGCGCAGAGCGACATTTTGCCATGAGTACATCTTTTTGACTTGTTCGTGGAATTTCTCGGTACGAATCTTTCCGGCACGCATCGCACTGATGGCTTTGCTTGTGGCGAGGACAATATCGTCCTCTTCTGGTTTGGCGAATGTCGTCATATGGGAGGGGAGGACTTCTGGGATGCCGCCAACCTGTGTACACACAACATAAAGCCCGCAGCTGGCGGCTTCAACAATGACAGTTCCAAAAGCCTCGGTCAAAGACGGGTGGAGGTAGATGTGGCCTCGAACCATAACATCTCTGACTTCTTCGTGGCGGATGGGACCGAGCATCTCGACCCGATCTTGGAGCACGTTTGTTTCGATCATTTGTTCAAGGTCGATGGCTTTAGGGCCAGAGCCTGCAATGACAAAGCGGGTGTTTGGATGATTTTCCAACACACGAGGAATAGAGGCAATGAGAAGATCAGTGCCTTTATTGTAGAACAGGCGCGAAATAACGACGATTGTGATGGTATCGCGAGGTCCGATACGCTGAGGTGGAGGATAGACTGGTCCTTCTGAGCCAAAAGTCGTGGCTTGGGGAGATGGTGATGCTGGGACGTCCTTGGGACGAAAATTCTCTGCAACAACAGCATTTGGTATCACAGAGACCATGACCGGATCGAGTGATGCGCGAAGTACCGTGTTTTCCTTACTGAGACTTGTCAATAAACACTGGTATAGTTGGTTCAGTGGATTGCTATCTTACCATGTATGGCTGACACATATGCTATGATCAACATCACTCAAAGTAAACTTGAGGAGCTTATTTGTGAGGATTGTTCCAGCATCTGCAAAGCCAAATAGTGAATGATCTGTGAAAACAGTACGTAGCCCCATGGTGCGAGCATGCAAGATAGCTTCATGACATAGACTGCTGAGGCTGCCATGGCCATGAACAATCTCGATGCGCTCGCGGATGCATATATTCCTGAAAATGGGGAAGAATGAAAAGACGGTTGGAAACGTTGCTGAACGATAGATGACGAGGAAAGGAACGTGATAGACCTTGACGCCGTTTGTGAGGTAGCGCACGCCCTTGCGGTCGTCGTAGGCATGAGTAATGATGATGACTTTGTGGCCACGGTCGACAAGCTTCGTAGCGAGTTGGTAAATGTGAGATTCGATGCCTCCTGGTTGCGGGAAGAAGAAGTCGCTGACCATGGCGATATTGTACGTGCGGCGTGTCATGATGGCGGCGGTTGAGAATGAAAAGGGGGATGCAGCATGACTGGGGTTTTGATTGAGTGTGTCGATACCGAGGTCAGCACTTGCTGAGGCTTATAGCACTTGAGTTTAATTGGAGACTTTTGGTAATTGGTTCTTGTGACGAGATATTTGTCGTGATCTCAACTTGTACTCAAGCAACTATATACGGAGTAAGTTCAGTGGTTGAGCGAGCTGAGCAGGGTGTGAGTGTGAGCATACCAGTGGAGTCGCTAGGTCACTACCAACTTTAGGGTATACAAAAGAAAGAGTACTCTCTATTAATTGGATAATATCAACTTCAAGGTATTTCATATTCCATATGTCATATTGGCAATGAAAGGAAGATATCGATTAAAAGAAGGTAAACTTGGACAAGATATTCCAACCACTGACTGAAGCCACCTCTGCACCAGCTTGGGATGTTTTGATAGAAACACAAGGCTAACCTGTTTTGCTCAAGCGTTTTCTCCACTGTTCCAATAAGCGGATCGGTTTATAATTTTAGCGGTGTAAGACGGCAGAACCTCATTAAGACCAGGAACTATCCAAAAATTTGGGAATTGAAGCACTTCGGGCCCCTCCATCGCGATTGATTATACACAGCATTTTCGAGAAAATGTACGCCAGATATATACCTCCCCCTAAGGGCGGAAGCAACTCGAATGCTTCTCCTTCTCAATCATCCTCAAAAATTACAAACAGTCCTGCTCCTACTCCTGCAGCGAATGCTTTCGGAGTTTCGCGATACGTCCCTCCGAGCGCAAAGCCCGTAGCTCAATCCAAGCAAATACAGACTCCTCAAGTCCAATACTTTGATGACGCACCGCCCACAAATACCAAGCGCAAATTAGATACTTCAGATGAGAGCAAAGGAATACCAGGTCCTGATAGCAAGAAGCCCAAGACAGAAGAACCAACTGCACAAAAGGATGGAGAAGATGCGCCGAAAAAGAAGAAGAAAGTCAGAAGAGGCAAGCGAAGAACTGGAGCTACCAATGACGATCGCGACGATGACGACATCAAGCCCGCGCAAGAGGCTCCCGAGGCCAAATCCAAGGAAGCAGACGCAACGCCCGAAGAGAGCCAGACTTTAGACGAAGATTCTGCAAAGGACAAGAAAAAGCCGAAACGAGAAGTAAAGGAAAAAAAACAGAAGAGGAAGAGGAAGTCACAGAATGGAGAGCAAGAATCAAAAGTTCCTCACAAACCTGTTCCCGACGAAGATCGCAACGAGGATGTATCCATGACCGATGCAGCAGAACCCATTGAGAATATATCTGAACCTACCGAACCAGCAGCAGACGAGGAAGATAAAAGACGGACGCGCAGAGAAAAGAAAAAGAAGGAAAAGGAAACTGAGCCAGCTGAGGAACAAGAAGATGAACCACAGACAAACCAGCGCCACAAGACGGTCATGAGCAAGCTGGAAAAGTCTCTTAAGCTTGCCAGTGAACTGCCCGCGGACGAACAAGATAAAGAGGATCGGGGCGAATTACATGGCCTCGAGCCTTTGCCTCAACCAGAGCCGGTTAGCTCTCTGACAACCTCAAAGCCGAACTACAAGATTCTACCCTCTTGGCTTGAAGATCCTATTCGGGTCTCTCAAGACACGCGCACGCCCTTCGCTGAACTGGATATCATACCCAAGGCTTGTCGAGTGTTAGAGGAGAAGGGGTTCCGAGATGCCTTCGCTGTGCAGACTGCCGCAATCCCTCTCCTGCTGCCAACAAGCAAGCAACGCGGAGATGTGCTTATATCTGCTGCGACCGGTTCTGGTAAGACGCTGGCTTATGCCCTGCCTGTTGTACGGGATATCAGCCAAGGATGCCTCACGAGGCTGCGTGCGCTAGTAGTGCTACCAACCCGAGAACTGGTCAAGCAAGCTCAAGAGACGTTTGAGCTATGCGCTAGGGCATTCGATGGTGGTGATCGAAAAAGAGTGCGAGTGGGCATCTCCATTGGTAGCCAGTCGCTTGAGGCCGAGCAGAAAGCCTTTATGGATCAGGAACTTCGATACGACCCTGATACATACAAGAAGCTAAAAGAAGAGACACAACGTCGAAACCAGCTGAAGTGGGGCCTTTCGGCATCAGAAAATCTCCAAGATCTTGACATGGAGGACACAGACCCTCAATTAAGCCACATGAACGGATATGTGGTTGATTATCTTTCCAAGATAGATGTTCTGATATGCACTCCTGGACGACTGGTTGAGCATATGGAGCAAACGAGGGGCTTCAGCCTGGATTACGTTCGATGGCTGGTAGTTGATGAGGCGGATAAGCTACTTGCTCAGAGCTTCCAAGGCTGGCTTGACCTCGTTATGGAACAGTTCCGCATCAATAAGTTTACCGCACGAGACTTCCATGACATGGACTTTTCTGGTGTTCGTAAGGTCATTCTGAGTGCCACGCTCACGAGAGATCTGAGTCTTCTCAGCCAATTGGGTCTGCAAAGACCACGGCTGATTGTCCTGGAGAGCGATGGCGATATCCAGATTGCTGAGCATTCTCTGCCCTTATCGTTGAAAGAGCATGCGATCAGAGTGCACGACACCAATCTCAAGCCCCTCTACTTGCTTGATCTACTCCGCAGTCAGGACATGCTCATGGCAAGCCCTAACAAGGGCGAAGATGAACCCAAGGCCGAAGAAGCTGAAGATTCGGATACTAGTTCTGACTCAAGCTCCAGCTCTGGCTCCGACTCCGATTCTGATGCTACTTCTGACACAAGCTCGGACACATCTTCTGACTCGGATTCTGACACAGAGACCAATACCAAATCCAAGGTCTCGGGACGCACACTCAAGTCTCACATCCCTATTTCTCTTATCTTCACAAAGTCCAACGAATCTGCACTTCGTTTGTCACGACTACTCGCCCTGTTGGATCCCTCCCTGGCAGACCACATCGGTACACTCACGTCAACTACACCAACACACATCCGTCGCAAGACTCTCCGGGCCTTCTCTACTGCCTCGTCTCCCATTCGCCTCCTCATCGCCTCCGACCTTGTCGCTCGTGGTATCGATCTCCCCAACCTTGACCATGTGATCAACTACGACCTACCGCCTAGTGTAGCAGGCTATGTTCACCGAGTCGGTCGAACAGCTCGAGCTGGAAAGTCAGGATGTGCATGGACACTCGTTGGCGATGAGGAAAGTGGTTGGTTCTGGGGCAAGATTGCCAAGGGAACTGGAGTCAAGAGAGCTCAAAAGGTTGAGCGAACAAGGATTGAGGAAATCGATGAAAAGAGAGTGGAGGGATATGAGGCTGCTTTGGAGAAGCTGGGCAAGGAAGCAGGAAGGTAACCGATCACATACTATAGATACTGCTAGATGCCAGCACTGTGGGTTGCCCTAAGGCTTATGTACCAGAATATGGACATTTTTGGGATATCTAATTTTTGATACCCTCTCAGACTTATTTCTCGTGACGATCCCGTTCCTATTCGCTTTGTGGTGATCTATTCCTAACTACCTAACTCGAGGGCTGATTGCAAGCATATAGGCAGGTCGTCAAAGAATATACATTACGTCGCTGCAAGCCCCTAATCACAGTCGGTAATATACCAGAAGCCCGACATCCACCCATTTGACCCATGTACTTCATTGCTGCATCATCTTTTGGTCCCTCGAATTCGGTTGTACTCTCATGCCGTCAACTTAATCCTCGCTCCAGTTGTTCCGTTCGATGACGGCCGATGGCACGACTCTGGGACCCGATTCATTCTCATGTACACTCCCGTAACCCTGCGATGGTCTCTCGGGATGCTCCGGGGTAGCCTCTTCTTCCTCGATGACATCTCTCTCCCTGTCGATCAGTAAAGGGCGGCGGCCATCGCGATGTTGTTCTGATTGTCCACGGTCATGGTTTCGCCAGTTACTCAACCAGCTGGAATCTTTTTTGGCCGGGAGGAGTCCGAGTATCTTGACTGTATATCAGTATCTGAATCCTTACGAACCTGGAATTTCGGTTTCAACATACCTGGATTAGCCCGACGCCGAGGACGACGGAAAAGTCCAACAACGACAGTGTCTGTAAGGCTCCTGACCAAGGTTCACGGCAGGGAGTTCTTCTTCCATATGTTTCAGCACAGCTGCTGGGCGCTGTATTTGGAAAAGGATAGGCCCGGTCTCGGATTGAGTTCAGCCCACAGCAGTCAAATGCATCCTGAATACGTCGTATGCTGCGTGCATCATGAGCACGAAACATGCTCATCCACTTCTTATCGAGCATGCATCCCATCATTTCTGATGGCACTAGGCGCTCTAGAAGGAGCGTTGCCAGGATAGTGGTGATGAGAGCTTGAAGGACCTGGACAATCAACGGAGCAAGCTTGGCTACACCGCTGGAAGATGACTTGGTAGTACGGCGAATACTGGGGTAGAAAGCTGTATTAAGAAATCCCAGAATCGGGAGAATCACCGTAAGGATTGACAGGGTTGGCGAGATAGCAAGTGAGAGGGTTGAACTGCGGACATGGACGATTCTATACAAGAGTCAGACCTCACCTACTAACATGACTTGACTGAGGCTCACATTGCTATAATGAGCAGCACAAGGCTGAGCTAAGGAACTTGGTCAGTCATGTATTATCGAGGCCTGAGGGCACTCAATGATTGCCTCACCATCAAATATAGAACTGTGGGGTGAATCATGTTGTGGTTCCTCGCACTCGAGCAGCTAAATTCAAGGCAGAGAATGGAGATAAATATGAAATTGAAAAGAAGAATTTACGGATGATGTTTCTTTGAACTGTCTGATCAATGACGAAGTCCTTCCCCGCCTTCATGCGGGAGGCCTACCACAATGTCTCTCTTATCTTGCCTGCTGAGCCTGACTATGCTGTGTCACAAATTCAAGTCTTATTCAATTCAGGTGAATGTATGTGCAGTGATTGGTTATAATTTTGTCTTTTTAGGATACTCAGGGATGTTTCACCTACAGCTGAGGTATCTTGTGTTGCACAAAGAAATATATTTCACACAACTAGCTCCGTAGTACATACAACATTACGGAAATGATAAATTTACATCCTCCTTATACTCTCACATATGAAGCAGGGTTCAGGTGTCCGTTTTCCACTGAGATTGGCATGACAGCCAAAGCGAACGTGAAATCTCGCGAGGTCGGGCACCTTGCGAAAGAAAGCATCAATATCATGAAATATAGACAAAATAGACGTAAGGGAGATTGAGTTATCGGTTTCTTGTCATAAAGTAACATAGAAAGGACATAAAGAAAAACATGAAAGAAGGTACGAGCTGACGGAGATAGCTCTTAATACAGGTCCAGATGTTAGTAATATCCGCCATTATTTGGGAGACTAAGATCGAAGCTATTCGGCATCACAGCTGCCTTGTAGTCAAACTGTTGGTATGCTGCATCGTCTCCCAGAGACGTGGCTGAGCTGTCACTGGCTTGATATGCGTCTGAGGAGTCCGTGGACTCATTCACATCAAACGTTGCCGAGTTATTCCGCATAGCCCCGTCGTCTATGGCCTGAAAGTCGAAAGGATCCTCTCCCAGGTCTTCTGGGGCAAAGGAGTAATAGTCCAAGCAGGAGTAAAGCCCAAAGTCATCGGCTGCTGTGGACGTCTCTTCTGGGCTGAGTCCTGGGAAAGGAAACTTGTCTGCAATTATACGAGGCAGCTCTTGCAGACGTTCGATGACAGTCACCTTCAATTGAGGTTCCCAGTCGCTAAATGCATCTTCTACTACCATGGCGACTTGGTGTTGAATGGCTGGCTTGGCCTTGATCCAGTATTCACGCAATTCCTCGGGGTTTTCGACCTTGACGGTTGTTGCCCGAGTGGTTGAGAGAGAAGGATCATAATCTTGACACATGACTCAGTCTTTGTATATTTTAGGGTATGTTTGGAGTAGATCCTGTAACTTACAAGGTGAAGGAATGTCGGGAGAATCAGGCTTGACATCAAATAGAGCACAATACCACTCCCTCCACTTCTCAACGGGGTTCATCCTCACTCTTGTTTTCAGCTTCTTTGCTTGTTCCTCGTCGTAGCCATCCAGAAGGTTTCGTTGAAGGCTGCTTGTCTCTTTTACTGGGCATGGAGTCGTCATCCGTTGATGCTTCTTCAGGTCTTTCTCATCGTCGAATCGGCGAAGACATCGATTGCATTGATGCGGAGACAGACTATGTCTTCGCTCAAGATGTTCCCTAGATATCAGTGTCAGTAACTTGCCTTGATAAGGGGCCAGCTTGACTCACTTTACTCGGCCGATTTCGAACCACCCCGGGCCACAACATGTTCTCTCGGTGCCGAATCTCTTGGGGTCTCTTTGATGGTAAGGGCAAGCAAACCGAGGGCGAGAGTCGTCCTTTGTGGTTTTTGTCCTCTTGTTGTCCTTCTTTCTACGAAATTTGTCGTCTCCTTCTTCCTCATTCTCACTTTCGTCTCTGCCAGTTTGACCTTTGGACCTCTTTTGGCCAGCTGTTTGTAGTATGTGTTTTCCTGACTGAAAAGCACGCGAACTGTGTGATCTGGAAGTATGCTCACACTCTTCCTCGAGTGCTTCCAGTCTTCTTTCAACACATTCCGAGATTGCAGCCATCAAATTATCAACGATATTCTGTTTACGCCGTCTCAGTTCTTTGTTGATGCAGTAATCCAGGTAGGCCGCCGACGGGTTCGTGGGCTCGACGTCGGATTGACTAGGATCGGCGGCTTGCACTTTAACACTGTGAGGAAAGGGCACGTTGAGAAGCTTTTCACACTTTTCTATGGCCTCGCGACGGATTCTTGCAGCGGGTGAATTGTCTAGACTGCTTCTAAGGCCGTGTTAGTGGCCTCATCGTGAAGGTGGACTTTGATATGGCCATGACTTACTGAGCGCCAGGCGAACCTCGACGGCCCTGACCGCTCTCCTGGTCGTTGCTGGCCCGGGGCTTATCTGATCCACCACTTGAAGGACTCTGGAAGCGCAGTCAGTAGGCGCATACATAAATATTTGAAGTGAGAGTGTGTGGTACTTGTTGAGAGTGGTGACTCTGGGTGGGTTCGGGTGATGCGGAAGACCTCTTGTTTCTAGTTACAAAGACTTGTTCTTCCGAATCTTGCTGAGGCATATCCGATCGCTGGTAAACCAGGCGACGGTGTTGGATCAAGGAGGAGAAGTTGAATTGATGGCAGAGTTTTGTGAATCGTTTCTTTCCAGCAAGGCATCGGTTTGTGAAGGCGTAGCGTTTGTGTTGCAAGGAGAATTGACTTGCTTTGTCCACCACAGAGGGCATTATCAAAAGTTGGCTGATTGATTCATTTGCATATTTAGTTCTAGCTCAGTTGATGTGTGGACTTGATTGTTGCAAAGAAATAGTGTTCAAGAAGGGCTTTGGATGGAACTCTGCCTGATATTAGAGAGAAGATGTCTCGAATCAATCTTTATAGAACTAAATCCTGGCAGGTACAAAGACGGGGAGTGTGAGGTTTAAATAGTTGGTGAGAGCCTCACTATAGTCCGTTCACATTCAATCTCCCGCAATTGCGAACTCCGCAAAGCCGGGTGTGGCTTCTCCGAGTGAGATCGTACACTGATATGTAGGACTCATCTGGAGCTGAAATCATATTGGATGACCACAGTCCAGAAGCTTCGTGAATGGCCAGGAGTAGTGATCTCGCGGGCACCAGTGGGCTACTAACTTAGTAGAGTACGTTGACTTTCATGCAGGTAAGTCGAGTATGTATGTATGTCATGTTACATGTATGACTTACTTGTCAACACATCAAACCAATTCAACGAATCGAAAGCCTCAATTTGGCGTCAGTTGTAAACAAGACGATGCCGTTTTGGGTTTCTTCAGCGCCTATCAATCTGCTGCAGCTGGTGAGGCGACAGCATAAATGGTTCGCAAACTTCCACGAAGCAATTCGAGTGGTTGTTCACGACGCGACCCCCGCGCTGAAATGCGGCTACAATGTTAAGTGAACATTGCAGATAACAAAGCATGTCAGATGCACAGTGCTTTGATCCGTTCGGGACACCGAATCTCGGATGCCCTGTACAAAGGAAATTCGAGTACTACGTATGGGCTCGAGAAGTGTGTACTTACTCCGCAAACTGAATACCTAACTAACGGTGTTGATTTAGTATCTTTTTCTACTTTTAGAGCAAGTATGCTGACCACATAATTGTAAACGATATGCCGTAAAATAGTAGAAAATAGCCAGAAGACAGGGAAAAACCCCGAGAATATGATTGTCGTGCCAAGATGTCTTTGAAAGCCTTGAGGTGGTCTATCGATTGCCCGTAATATCTCTAGTCGTCCTCTCTATTTCTAGCTGTATAATTACAATCACGGCAACGATACATCCTAGTTCCGTGCCATCTGAAATCCTTTCATCTATGGTTCATGCATCACATCACGATACTAAACACTCTTATGCTTGCCGAATCACCCCAAGTCAAAGGAGCATTAGGGTTTCCAACCAACATTCATCCAGACAATGCCACCGCCTGCGTTTCAACGCTTTATAAAGGCTGAATCTCCTCAAACTCGTCGCATCCATATCACTGAGACTTGCTACCCTTATCTTGCTTCCGTGCCACAATGGCATCCACGCGCTTGAAGGCAGGGAACCCCTCGAAGAAGCAATTGCTGAGCCAAAGCCACCACTGTCCAGAGAATCTCTCAACGCTGTGCCTCTGGAGCTTCCTGTCGAAGAAGAAGCATTCAACAAGATGAATGCCGATGACGGGCCAAAAGATGGCGTTGACAAGCCAGCGGAAGAAGGTCGCTCCTCCAGGGAACCCTTCGTTCAATAGCTCCCAGGTGCGAGTTCCAGGCTGTACCCACGGTAGTGTCCCTGCGCAGAAGAAGTAGAAGAGAACTGATCCGGTGACAAAGATGCCGAAACCCTCTGGGGGTGTGTAGGCTGTGATAATGACGTCGCTAAGACCTAGTCCTTCACGGGCTGTGTTGGCCATTTCGATGATGCGGTCCTTGACCTCGGCCCAACTGGAGAGGGGAGGCGAGAAAGGGACAAAATGATCTTTTCCATCATTCGACTTGATAGTCATGCCGCTGAGATCAATATCCTTGAGCACGGGTGAGGAGGCAGCTGAGGCAGAGAGACGGGCATAATGACGGAGATAATAGGAGATTTCTCGGGTGTGATCCTTGTTCATGTGCGACACGATGCGGTTCTTGCGAGCATCATCGGCAGAGGCCATTTTGATCTATTTTGACGGCTTCAGATATTATAAATCCTGGTTGGGTTACGGTGATTTTCGTTTAGATGCGGCTTCGTTGAGTGCTTGAGGCGGATGAGAGCGTGGAGTCGAAGTCGGTGGGTGAAGTTGAAAGTGGAGCCCAACTATTTGCCAAAACTCGGTTCCCGAGGCCATAAAGAGACAAGGATAGTTACATGTGAAGTGATTAAGAAAACACAAGATCTATGAAGATATGAAGAAAATACGATCATCGAAATAGGATCCATTTGTCTACCTAATAAGCTACTGAATTTTGTGGCATTGTCGTTAGTCATGTGCTCTAATTGGCTGTTAATGCATAAGTTATGCTTTCTCTGCTGTAAGCTCTTACTACCTTGTTAAAGTATGAAACTACAATCTGGTCGATGTTTGCTTGATCAAGAATTACTATTTCATTATTGGTTTTCTAGTTCATTAATCGTTAGGCAGCCTCTATATTCTCTCTTGCCGATCCCTTCTCCGCGTCCCAGTTACTGTCGTGCACATGTCTTATCGTCCTCGTTCGGACCTGGATACCAATCATGCCCGTCAATTGAGAGATCATCGAAAACCTCTGGCCTCCTTGAATTTCTGTCCTGACGTTTCCATAAGTCTTGTCGCCCAGGTGTAAGTTCGACTCGACTAGTTTCTTCGGTCGTCCTCTTGACAAGATCCCGAATAATCCCTTCTGACACAAACTCGGCCTCGGCATCTTCGTATCGGTTGACGGTGTTTCTGGCATGCTGGCCTCTTCTATTATCTGTGGCAGTCGGTTGGTCTCTTCGACATCCCTCGGGGGTACTGGATCTGTGAAGGACTGCCATATAGGCAGGCATGCCCATATAATCAAGATCGAAACTTCAACGTCCATCCAAACGATTCGTCCATGATATTTCCAGACTGGCTGCATCATCTTGAAGAAATTGATCAGAAGGTGCAGTCGAAAACAGGACACAGCCAGACCGAATGCCCCCAATGCCATTGCAACAGCGTTTTGCAACCAAGATGTTGTGTTACTTGCAACTCGGCTGAAGATCAGGTGAGAAAGCATAAGAAGCAGCACCAGGTTTAGGAATATGTCGATCGAGGAAGCCGCATATGCAAGCGAGTCCTGAGCCAAGCAACCTCCGGTTGCCTCATCTCTTCCACTAGGTTCCCAACCTTGCCAGGCGAATGCAATTGGTGAGCATCGAAATACTCTCAATAGGGCCAGAGCAATCGAAGAGAGCATGGTGAGTACAAGGGTCGCGGCCGTGGCCACTATGTATCTGCCAGGAAATGATGAGCGCAGGCATACGAGAAGGATCGCGACTCTAAGTAGACACGAGCAGGCAAGCTCGAAGATGTCGGCCATGAAGACAAGCTAGGCAGTTCAACGTTAACATGCCGCGACTCAGAATTGTACCTTGCAAACAAACCTTTAATCCGTCTGTAATGCATTCCGGAACCGCATTCCATAAGATTGTATCTCCTGTTACAGAGTGGGCTAAGAAAGAGGCCGGTAAGCACAAGCCCGTATTCATTCAGCGACCCGACTTACCAAAGTGAACCAGAGTTGCAAAGACAGTGTACAACAACTGAAATCTGTGTTAGATTTTGATGATCCATGGTACGGGGTACCAACTTACTCCACAAACTACCATTATATAGTCATCCAGAGAAAGACTCTCATATGTGATCCAGCTCGAATACAGCCTAAGCCAAGGAGAGATCCATGCTGGTATCTCTGCAACTAACAGAACGTAGTGGTTATTCCGGTTGTCTTTTTCCTTGCTATCACAGGCATTAGCATAGGTCTTTGCGATATCTGGAGCCTGTTAGTTCTATGCAATTTGAGCTTCAGAATGACTGGCGCACCGAATCTTTCGAAATCACGGCATTTGTGTGCGTAGCAGTTATCTAGTTCCTGCCTGGCATTTCCGTTGTTGCACATATCAACGGCTTCAAAACCAGAGTTATCATACTTTTCGAGACATGAGATCTTCAAGTCATTGTTAGTACAAGCGCAAACCAGCATCAAAACCTCAAGACTCACAGTACAACGGGGCAGACTCTTGAAGAGTTCAGGTCTATCAGCGCCAAGCACTCCAGCAGCGAGTGCTAGCGAGCAGATCGCCCAAGATGTGAGCTTCATACCCGTCCAGTAGCATTAGGGCTGGTGATGTTGAGGAAAGTGAACACACAACAGGGCAATGACAGGATGCTCAAATATTGCAAGACATGGGTTACCTCAACTATCATATATATATATAAACCCCCAGATCTACTTAGACAAGGGGCTTCATCCGCGTTGGGTGGGCATGAAGACCACATCCAGCTGTAACAAGACTAGTTACTAGCCCTGTACGTTCTTACATCCCGGTTTTGATATGAAGCCCCTGTGCATACAACATGGACAAGGTACATCTAGCATTGAGGATCGTCTCAAAATAGCGGAAATGATCTTACACGGGCCGCCGCTGGGAGGATTAGCTGCAATGCTATTTACATCGGTTCCTTGACCTGTGACTTTATCGAGATTTAATTCGGATATTCCGGTCTGATTGTTGAGCTCACCTCCTCGCTCCCGTCAGCAAGTGAAACCTGTGGTATATGCATTGACACTTCTTTACCCCGTGTCCTATCGGGCTAATGCACGACATAGCAAACACGCGGCTTCAACAAGCCTCGATACATAGCATAGCTCTTAAATCAACCAACGGTTTTAAAGCCTCTTTCAAGATCGTGCAGCGCCGTTTGGCAGCCTCTGGCGAAGCAAATTGGAGCAAAAACTGGGGTAGCGTTGTACCGCAATTGCTGTGTGCTTCAGGTGAAACGACCGCTCCAGAATAGTGCAGTACAGACCGTCGGATCCTTTGTGGTCTTCTGGCCAAAGATCCAATAGATGAGCATCCTAGACATTGCAGCGTTGCAAATGTGGTTTCTGGAAGACTCTTTTAAAAGCTTCGGTTTAGGTGTGACAACCTACCCTTTGGTCAACTATTACGCCAAGAGCACGTCCTTCAATCCAAATTGTCAAGGCGTTTCCAGAACGAATCTGACCTTCTGTTGACCGCCATATGCGAGTCAGTCTTCAGTTTCAGGTTGGAGAGGGCCATTTCACCCCGCGTCACTCTGTAGTGAGTTAGCATTGGGTCCAATGTGAGTGCCATTCATTGAAGAGGATCCTCCCTGCATCTGCACTCCGCTTATTAATGATTGAGTCTTTAGTGCTCACGTAGACGTTTCAGTATCAACTGTAAGTGTTCGTCATGTCGAATTTCTTTTCCAATGATTGAATGATCCGATTGTAGTCCTGACATTCTCATATTTTTTAACACTCTTGCTCATTCTTGCGACAAGAGAATGACTTTGGTATGTTAAAGATGGATGACAATATCTCTACGTAGGTTGACAGGCATCATCTCAAATTACCTGAGTCCAACTAATATCTTGACATACAATTGACTCTTCGGAACTCCGAGGAGCCTGAACGAGATAGTTAAGACGTATAATTGAAAGAACTAAATACTGAGGCGCGTAATCGTCTCTTGCATTAATTCGCATGGCAATTGCATCAATTAAGTGCCCAACATGTCTCTCAGTTACCTGACTGGTCATGGTAGCGTTAGATGGACGGTCACCTGACCTCATGAGCCAAATAATCCGAGGCCCATGCTTTCGTATCTCCGCTCGGCACAAGCAAAAATTCTTCTACCAATATTATCTGATCTGATTGATAAAGGTGTCTTTTTTCACTTGCTGGTGGAGCGATTCCTCCTCCTCCTCCTTCGTAACTCCGAACCGCATCCGCATCGGCATTCGCACGACACTGGATAAGCTCCGGTCATCGATTATGGCTTCCTCAGACCGAAGTGAGACCCCGGACTCGGACGGTGACCGAAAGCCTGGGTCCCGAGATGACTCGGGCCAGCCGCCCGCCCGCAAACGGCAGCGTGTCCGCCTCAGTTGTCTCGAGTGCCGACGCCGAAAGCTGTCGTGTGACCGAGGCTTCCCGTGCGAGCGTTGCATCAAGAGCGGCACTCCCGACCGTTGCAGCTATGAATCTCGTAACGGCGAGGTCGTGAATGCTTCCTCTGGCGTTCCGCCGCCGTTCGCCCAGCTGGACTCTCGCCGCTTCGTTGATCCCGCGACGGGCTTGTCCCCACGAGATCCCGAATTCGTACGCCAAGACCACGATCGAATTCGCCGATTGGAGCTTGAGCTAGTTCAGCTTAAGAATCAAATCTCTCGGTCTGGTGTGTCTTTCGATGGGAGCACCCTGGCCGGCACGACGACCTCCCCCCAGATGAAAGATGATGCCAACGGGAATGCGAATGTCGAGGACCCTTCTGTCCGCGAGGTCCACGAGTCCATCGAAGCTACTAACATGTCGGGTGAGAAAGGAGAGCTTCGTTTCTTTCGTGGCAGGGGCTTTCGCACGCGATACTTTGGCCCACACAATGCCAGTATGGCCTTTGTCGAGCTTACAGGTCTGTGCCCTTTCATGAAGGAGACGGCCGATGAGTGGCTTCGCCCAGTCATTCTCCATGACCGTAAAGATCGAAAGAGACGACGCGAGGACCGCGAAAAGATATTTGAGGACTCGGATCCAGAACTAGAGGCTTTGCTGCCAACTAAGGAGGAGTCTGATGCACTTATCGATGTTTACCTCGACCAGTTCGAGCAGGTGCACCGCATTGTTCATATTCCTACGTTCAAGAAGGAATACGACGAGTATTGGGCACCCGGGTCTACCAAACGTTATGCCGCTTTCACGGCCCTTATCCTTGCAATGATGGCTGTTGCAAGCTGCGTTCACACTCACGAAAGCCTCAAGTTCATCGGCATGATGTCCAATGCTCGTCACTGGGCAGAACGGTGGATCAAGGCATGTGATGAGTGGTCGTCAAAACAAAGCCAGAAGCATCGACGCTTGATCCACTATCAAGTAGCATGCCTCTTGTATCTTGGGAAGCGAGTCAACACCATCAAGAAAAAGCGTTTCTGGACAGGCTCTGGTGCACTCATCCAGGACGGAATCGCTGTCGGTTTACATCGTGAGCCAAGCCACATGGCAGCAAAGATCACCGTTTTTCACCAGGAGATGCGTCGACGAATTTGGGCAACAGTTCAAGAATTCGACATGCAGGCCTCCTTTGACCATTGCCTACCAACTCTGGTTAGCCAGCTTCACTACGACACCAACGCCCCTCGCAATTTAGACGATGATGATTTTGATGAGAGTACCACCGTACTCCCACCATCGAAACCTGTCAAAGAGTATACATTCTCTTCCTTCCAGCACCTGGCTCGTCAGAGCCTGCCTTTACGCCTGGAGCTTAGTCGTCTTCTTACTGGTCCATCGTCTGAAATAGACTATGACCAAGTAATTCGATACACCAACGATTTGACACAGGAGATTGATGCTCTCCCTTCATGGGATATGAATCTGGAAAATGTAAAGGGAAAGAAGAACCCTTTGATCGCGTACACATTGTTGCATGTTCAGTTAAGGCAGTACATCATCCCCTTGCATCAGCCATATCTCAAACTTCGGAAGCAAAACTCAAAGTACCAGTACTCCGAAATCATATACTATAATGCCGCTCGAGATATCGTCTTATTACACGACAAGCTGTACGATCAAGGCGTTCGGAGTCTGAACTTTCTCAGAGAAGATGCGCTGACCACAGCCATCAACCTCTGCAGCGTCACAATGTTGCAGCCCAGAGGTTCCACCAACATGATCATGATAAACTCACACCACACACTCAAGTTGATTGAGAAGTGCATTGCAATGAAGGAGGATCGTCTATTACGATGCGGCAACAACGAGCCATGGGGATATTCTATCATGTGTGCGGCGCTGGGGTTGCTTGAAGCCCACCTGGGAACCAAGGAGCCTGAAGTCGCCAAGTCGACATCAGCAGAACGCTTTGTCAACTTGCACTACCGTCTCCTTGCTAACCAGGAGCCTCCAGTTTCTGGGGAGCACCTTACAGCTGCCATGAACGGTGTGCCGCCGGGCAGCATGGGACCGGGGCCCACGCCTAATATACCGCTGCACGACCGCCCAAAGGTAATGAAGCTTGACTTCCATGGCACGGCGTTTCCTAATATTGGTATCCAGTCGGTGACACCGTTCTCGTTTACGCCGACAATGCCTGCGGCTCCGATCGACCCAAGTCAGGCCCCATGGATGATGGGAGGCGATCCCACTCAGCCCTTCAATCTGGATCCGAGTCTGGAGTTGTTGGGTATAAATCTCAACGAGATCTGGGGCGAGTCCTGGGAATTGGGCTGAACAGAGAGGAAGTCCATGTTGGCTAATGCGTAATAATAATAAGTGGCGTGGATTCTTGGGCCTCGCAAGCCACGGACTGGGGGGATCTTGGGCTAGCATCTATTTGCTTCTCGAACTGTCTCATCTTTTAAGATACCAGGTCTCCTACTATTTCACGACAACAAAAGCGCTCATGAACAGGTCTTGGCGTCATGTTGTCTGCCATATTTTGTGCCTTCAAGCAAGCTCCTCTCATTATATCTATCTTGTGGGTTTGAATACTGAATTCCTTATGACTGACGAAATTGCCCTCAGAATAATGTGCTAATGAAATGCAATATCACTTTGACAGCGATATTCGAGATGACGTGCCGAATTTTAGGGAAGAGATGGTTGCTGAGCCCTCGCAGATTTCACGGGTTTCAACATTCGATCTACTTCGATATTGATACATATTGCTTTTGAACAAAAGTGTAAGATATTTTTATGGACGAGACTTTCGTTAGACGAATACTGTGCCAAGTGACGGGTGTGCAAGGTGCTTCACAATTGTTGATTGTTGTTGATGGTGTTATGTTGAGTCTCCTAGCGATTGAGGTGGCTGGCTAGGGTAGCCAGAATAACAAAGGATTGACATACGCACGTGATGTGAGGGAAATCCTCCGAAGGCAGACCGACGACAATATATCCAATGGAATTTAAGCACATACCTTTACAAAGATGATAAAGCCGAACAAAATGTTGCCCGTAAGTCTATAAACCTCACTACATGTTGAAATCTTGGCTGTTCTCTAGGGTAAGCACCTCAATAAGTCCGAACTTTTAATGTCGGGTATAAAACTTCGGTCACTAGACTTGGCTATGTTGTCTCGGCCCTAAGAAATCTCGGGGATAGTGTTCGGCATTTGATGCTCCTCACTCATATACAAAGACATTACATACATACAAATCAGCTGTCACTATCGTATAACCCGACATCAAATGTCGACCGCGATGCAGCCAAGAGGATCCTCGGACGTATCTTCTGCTGGAAGTCCCCGGGCCCCGGCTCCCAAACGCCGCCGAAGACGACCTGCTCGGTCTTGTGAGCAATGCCGGCGCCGCAAGATTCGGTGTAATCTGGGACAACCTTGTAACGGCTGTGTTCGGGCTCGGGCACCGATGCAATGTTCTTATCGTGACGGGAGCCCTGTTGCAGTGACTCGGAGCTCTGAAGTCTGCACTTCGGTGCCGGCTGAACGGACTGAAGGACAGGGAGCCAATACAGAAACACAGCCAAGTCGAGAAGCACATCGCCGCAGCCCAGTGAACCGACCACTACAGCCTGAAAACAGTGATAGGACTGTGTTAAATTCAAATGGCTGTCTTTCAAAAACTATTCCAGACCTTCAAACATCCACCCCAACACAGTCATCAACCTCAATCCCTCCCTTTACACCCAGGTTGCGTCATGTACCTGAAAAGACGAAGCTATTTGGCCAAACACATTGGCTTCACACTGCAGAGAAGGTAAATCTCAAATACCACTTACTACTCGAGCTCTCATACTGATCTTCACTGCCCTAGTTTCCTGTTTCAGGTAATTTCCATCCTGTAGAGATTGAACCATCATGGGAGGATGCCAAATCTGACTTCCACGACGCCTTGAAAGAAGCTCGCATTCTACGGTTTGGTCTCAAGAAACAGAACTTTCCAACACTAGATCAACCAATACAGGACCTTCGTGAGACCTTGCCCTCCAAGGTGGTTTGCGATGAGCTATTTGCTTGTTATCTCCGCACATTTGAGCCCCTATATCGCATCGTTCATATCCCCTCCTTTCAGAGAGAGTACGACCGGATATGGGCAGGCGAGGAAACACAACCTGTGCCAGCTATATCTCTCGTTAGACTGACCTTGATTCTTGCCCTTGGGACTACCTTTGCCAATTTTGACACAGAGGAAGAGATGAACCAGTTGTGGCGACTTGCGCAGACATGGGTTCAGAATGCCCAGTGGTGGCTCACAGGTCCAAATGAAAAAACCACTTACAATCTCGATGGTCTGCAGATATTCTGTCTGCTAATAATTGCCCGTCAATCGACCTTTAATTGTCGCGGAGCAACGTCATGGCTGTCCTCGGGCTCTCTACTGCGCGCCGCCATCACCATGGGCCTTCACCGCGATCCAAAGCTATTTGCTGGTCTGACGCTCTTCCAAAGGGAGTTTCGAGCTCGTCTTTGGGCCACTGTGCTGGAGTTGGCTGTTCAGTCATGTCTAGATCTCGGCTTGCCACTACAGCTTTCGGAACAAGACTTTGATGCTTCCATCCCATCCAACTACGATGACTCGGATCTAGAGTCGACTTCTCCAGGGCCACCAAAACCAATGGACAAATTTACAGACTCGTACCTGCAAATAATGCTCGCCAAATCTCTGCCTTTGAGAGTTGAAGTCATAGGCCTGCTGAACGACTTCCGCCAAGAGAAAACATATGAAAAAGCCCTAGCTTTAGGATCACAGCTGCGCACGGCGTGCCGAGATGTCGCCGCCTTCTTCCATTCAACACAACATAATCCGATGAACATGAGAAAAGGGTCAAGCATTGAGGCGAATGAGTTCCACCGCAAAATTCTCGATATACATCTTCGCCGGTTCGTTATGTTTCTTCACCGCGACTTCATGCTCCAAGCAAGGACCGATCCCCGGTTCTACCTTTCTCGTAAGGTGTGTGTTGAGTCCGCCCTGGTCATCGCTTCTGGGAGTAAAGGCGCCGACTTCAGCCTGCCGATGCAGGTATGGGACGACTTTTCTCGCTTGTCTTTCGTTGGACGTGGCCTTTTCAAGTGTGCGTTGAGTTTCGATGCTATGCTCATCTTGGCCCTCGAGATCATTACTGAACTTCAAGATGAGTCGACACCAACACACGAACCTGATATTCTCAGCGAGATGGCAAAAGCCACCCGTGCTCCCATGATCAACACACTCGAAGAGATATATGTGCAACTTCGCTGCATGATCGTACGGGGCAACCTCAGCCTCAAGAGACTTCTCTTCTCGAATGCTCACTTGGCACACATTCGAGCATTGGAGGCGGGCCGGCCTGTGAAGCCAGCGGTACATGAGACTGTAACAACGACCCTCCGCGACTGTGTGGCAATGCTCAAAGACATCCAAGCGGTCACAACACCCCATGAATCAGTGATAACTTCGGATAGCTTGAGTAGCGACTTTCTTGGTACCGATATTTTCTCAAATGTGAGTGATGCTTCGTATAGGCAGTAATTCTTTCTAACAATATGAGCTAGAGCAATCTTATTGAGTGGGACATATCCGACCTTCTCGGCTTCCCAACTGCCAGTAAAGACGGCCAATCTCAGTGGCCAGTTATGGACTAATATCAAAATCGGCACATCACATACTGAATTCGTGTAAACTGTCAGGGAATGACACTTGTGAGATGTCGTTTTCGTTACTCGTCATAATGCCCATCATCATAAGTGCCCTGCATTGCCTGCGTGCTCACCCATTCTTCACTTGCCAAACCCCTCATAAATCTCATCTCGAGTTCTTGGGGGTCCTTGTGCCAATCACAAGCAAAGTCACACTCGGGTGTGCTGGATTCTCCAAAGTATTTGCATATGGTAGCATGTCGGCACTTATCAGTGTCTTCACAGTATTGAGCCAGCGCCTGCAAACTCTTGAGTCTGGCGATCTGGTTCGTCTCAGCTTTGGCATCTGATCTGATCAATCTCGTGACGCGCTCCAGGTCTTCTCGGCTGTAGTAAAGAAAGCAATAGCTTGCGTTGCCATCTCGACCAGCACGGCCAGCTTCTTGGTAGTAACCCTCGAAAGACTTGGGGATACGCCAGTGAACAACGAAGCGTACGTTATTCTTGTCAATACCCATGCCGAAGGCGGTCGTGGCAACAATGATGTCGTACCCAGACTCGTTATTTATCCACCGGGCGAGTGTTTCCTCTTTGACTTCCTTGGTGAGTTTGGCATGAAAGGGCATGGCCCCGATGCCTTCTGCACGAAGGGAGGCTGCCAGGCTCTCGCATTCATCCCGAGATATAGTGTATATGATCCCAGGAACACTTTCGACTCTTTCATTCACCTGCTCGAGTTCTGCTTTTCTCTCGCCATGTTTACGACGGTCGTAGACGGCGTTGATCCACCTTAGAAAATCCTGTAGGCGGTTGTCTTCTTCGTCCTTGGTGTACCGAATTTCAAGATGCAGGTTTTGACGTTGAGGGTTCATCAAAAACTCTCTCGTTCTTTCTGGAGTTTGATCGAGTTTCAAAATAGATAGTACGTCTTGGCGAACCTGCGGGTTTGCCGTGGCAGTAAGACACATTATTGGTACATCGGGGAAAGTGTCTCGAAACCAAGATAGACGTTTGAAGTCTTTTCGAAAGTCATGACCCCATTCTGACACACAATGAGCTTCGTCGATGGCGATACGTGCAAGTTCCTTTTGCTTGTAGACTAGCTGCAGCCGCTCGCGAAACCGTGAGCCAGAGCATAACTCGGGCGTGACATACAAGAGCCTGGTCCTTGGATGCCCGCTCTCAAGATCACGCTCGATGCGGCGCCGATCATCATAAGGAGTTATGCTGCTGTAAAAATTGGCTTCGATACCGGAGTCTCTTAAGGCTTCAACTTGGTTCATCTGATGATGTTAGATTTCGTACCGATGGTGGGCCAGAGAGAGTTTCTTGCCATTAAACTCAAGAGAGGGGAAACAACTATGGTAACTAGACTTTTAATCAGAGGAAGGGAAATGTATAGAATAGTGGTCGCAAACTCACTGCCTTGGTCGATGACTGCTGGTAGCTGAAAGCAAAGACTCTTACCAAAGGACGTGGCTGCTTGGACATAAACATCAAAGCCGTCGAGAGCAGCTTCGATGATTTCACGCTGGTGAGGCCTGGGAAATGTCAACGGACAAAGCAAAAAAGAAGAGAAGCGGATAAATCGTATAGCTAGCTACCTGAAATCTTCCTTGTGAAATTGGCGACGAAGAGTGAAGCCAATGTCTGTGCATGAGCTTGTTCTTTTCAATGGTGGCATGGCGCTCGCCGTTCACGATTTTCGAAGAGGGTGAGCGATTGAATTGATTGTTACTGTACGGAGTAATACACTGCAACTGGTAGATCGAAGCAAGGGTGAATCGAGCCGCTTTCCTGGCGCTTGTTGATAAAGATTGACCCTTTTTTTTACTGTTATCGTTCTAGTCTATCCCAATGCAAGCTCTCTAACTTACAGAGTTGCAATCTGCTGGAGCTTAGGTGTTTGGTGAGGAGGATCTGTTTCTGCTTTTGGCAGTCAAATCGGATGTGGTCCACCGGATCAGCACTGTCAACAACAGCCTTGCAACGTTGTTGCTTTTCGAACGAAGGAAGCGACTGGCAGGGGTTCTAGAGCACCTCGAGCCCGGGTCACTGAGTGGAAAATACAAGAACTGATATCCGTACCTAGGTAGGTATCTTAGGTAAGAAGGTAGCCAGAGGTCCATTACCTTTCAACGTAGGTACTGATAAGCAGCAGATAAACTCAATTGATACAGTTTCCCGGCAGCAAAAACACTTAGAAGGTGGTATAGCGTTATAATGACGTGGAGAAAAAGGCTTCTGCTGTTCACTGGCTCTTCTCGGTTGCATTCAGTGAATCTGTAATTACTCTGTGCCTTGCATTACTCGCTGTTGGCTGGGGCAGGGGCCTCATCCTACGAGACAGCACAGCCAGACATCTTCAAAGTCCACCCTCCCGAAGAAAGCAGCCCTTGCCAAGGGATGAAAGAAAACCAAGGGCCTTTGGCCTGGAGGACGAAAATACTAAGGCAAGTTTAGTGTATCTTGGTATACTTTTAGGCTAGTTAATTTTGGCGTCATTCCTGTAACGTCCTAAACTTTATTTACCCCCTGATGCCCTCAAAGATGTCCATCAAAAATGAGTGGTGTTGGCTTTGCTGTTTCATAGGTTATCAATACATTACCCCTCGTTTACTAGTTAGCAGTTAGCAGTGGTTCCTCGTCTTGTTTTGGTTTGTGTCAAAGATCAAAGTTACTCCATACTGTCGGTAGGCTTCAGGGAGGAAGGGATGCGACCTAGTACGTCTCTCTTTTGCAACAATTCTGATATTCTTGACAAAGAGGATTCATGATTCTTAAGCTGTTATTATGTATTTGTAAGTAACGAGAGAAACATGAATTGTGAGCTTCAGGGATTAAAATCCGGAGTCCTCACACCGAGGTTGGACTCGCTTATTCAAAACTCGTACTGTGTGGCTGGCTCAGCCTGATAGGTGCATGGCTATCCGTACCTGGGCATGCAATAACGTGCCTGATATTTAGCGGCGAAGGTAGCAAGAAAAAGAAGAACTTCGGGGGGGTGAGGTCGTGTCTTTTGAATAATAGCAAGTTATATATTTTAAGTCGCAGTATCATGCTAACTAGCCTCAGTTAAACCCCCCCTAACTTACCACAATATGATATCTTGGAGACTGAATTCAATTGCTCACAAGTCATTCATACAAGTTGATATATGTACTCCGTAGTACTGTTCCTGATATTTTCTTCCTCACACGTTGGACTTCAGCCTCCAGACCAGCCGCCCCGCACTGTGTTTCACTTTACGATGGGTCCAACTGTCCGTTGGCGCTGAGGCCCCACGATTGAACCGCCCCGTCAAGTGCTGACCAAAACACTTCCATGGGTTGTTACCCCTATCTGATGCGCTATCCCCTATTCGAGCATGAGACAAGGGACTGCCAGGGGCAATTGGGGGAAGCTGGTACTCCCGACAAAATACACAATTGAACTGCAACTTACCTATTAATTGATATGTATCATTAGCCAGAACAGACTTTTATGTTTCTGCGTCCTTAAATAACATCGACCAAGGTACTTGGCCTTTCACTCTACTATTTGAGTGCCACGTTAAGAAGTGAAAGACAGGCGTTTAGTACCCAAGGTACCTATCTCAATCGGCACATATCAAAGTTACAGCGGGGACCCCCCATTACATCGGCTGCAGCATGTGCCTGAGCATCCTCCATTTATCAAGCAAGCTCTCTTTCATTCTCGACCTTCAGTTTGTTTGACTCTGTTTTGAGTTTTTGATATCCAGAACCAGTCCACGTTCAAACTGCCAAGGGCTAGGGGACATTCAACGGGGGTCATCCCGGTTACTAGGTATTTCACCACCCTTGCCTTGCCTTGCCTTGCCTTGCCTTGCCTTGCTTTGCCTTGCCTTCCATCCTCCTGCCATGGTGTTGCAAAACTTACTTACCAAAGACGGAATCTCAGCCCGACCTCATCGCCTCCCGAGTTTGCATCAGCTCATTACGGCCCTTCCCGCAGCATTCCTCTTCTTCAACCCTTCTCTCCAAGTCCTGTCCTTGGAGTATCTCCATCCAACGGGTTCTCGCCGATCGCTGCCATCGGCAATTCTCATTTGAGCCTCGACGGCGTAGTGCGCCCGATACCAATTCCAACACTTATTATCTCGATACAAACAGGCCAGAAACCTGAACTGCGCGCTGCCGTTTTGGCTTCGATCGAATATATAAACATGACCTTATCGATCTCGTCGTCGACACTGCCTTGATTGGCCTAAACGTTAGAGATACCGATCGCAAGCTTGACTTTCACTGAGACAGACGGGCCTCGGTTTGCGCCTAAGCTTTTGATCAAAAGATAATAAACGCAGGCACGGCAACAGCAATCTTCTGAAACCGTTCACCCTTCAAGCATCGCCATATCGTCATAAAATTCCAACGGTCCCCCCCTCGATCGATTTCTCCACCAGCGCGCCTCCCACGTTTCTTACCTGAGCCGCACATTCCTCATATTGACCGTCCGCCATGGAACGCCCAGATCGACTCGCCGGCTCGTCCGTCGGTTCTGCATCGCAGGCTTCAGTCCCAAGAAGCTTGCCCGAAAACCACATATCTGGACGACGTCCAGTCCCAAACTCAGCAGCCACGTCTAACGGACCGCCACCTCCTCCGCCAATCCCTTCCTTGCGAAGCGTTCCCTCCAGTTCCTCTCTTTCTGCCGCGGGCATGTCGGCAGCTCAGGTTATCAGTCTCGCGCGTGAGGCAATGCAAAATGCCATCGAAAGCGAGAGCCAGGCTGCCGAAGCAGGCGCCGTCAGCACAGGGCTCAGAACCGGAGTCACAATTGACCTCAGTCGCAAAGGGATCCAAAAATTACCAGATGAAGTTGTGGATATTGTCAAGGGTGATCTGGGATCATCTTCAGCAACCCGATCGGATACTGATACCTATACGGTCTCCAGACTAGCACTGTCTCATAACCAACTGACAACATTGCCTGCTCGCTTTTCTGAATGCACATCATTGCGATATCTCAACATCCGAGGCAATCAAATCAAGGAGTTTCCTATGCCTGTATGTCTCCCTCCTTAGTATCGAAATATTTTCTAACAACCTGGCTAGTTGTGCGATTTGAAATCATTGGAGATCCTTGACCTCGGTCGAAACCAGCTTCGAAGTCTCCCTACAGATATTGTGAGACTCTCGTCATTGAAAGTTTTGTCTATTCCAAAGAATCAAATACGGGAGTTGCCACTATGTATTGCCGATATGGGGTCCTTGCAAGTGATCAAGTTTGAGGGCAACCCCATTAACTTTCCGCCGCGTGACGCAATACAAGTGCAAGCCGCAAGCCCTCCGCATGAAGGCATTCAGAAAGACAACGAAGTCACGGAGGTGGCGGTAACGCTACAAATCAAACGCTTTCTTAAGCAGCATGCTGTCAACGGCCGATCCGAATCTGACAACACAGGTGACGAATCTAGCGAAGGCGCGGAAACTCCTCGCTTCCCATTGAAACGGGTCGCAAGTGGGAGATTCCCTGTCAAAGTCAGTGGTGCGGATTTGCCTGATATTCGTTCTCCCAATCTTGGATCACGGGCGCCTCCGATACCATCGAGATCACACTATCGTGGACTTTCCCAACAAAACAGCGCTTTTCGACGACCCGGCGTCATGCCATTAACAATTGGCAATGTCAATGAACGTGTTCGCAGCAACTCAGAAAGCCTATTGAGGGCGGAGCGGTCGGAGAGCCGCAACAGGCGCATGGGAATTGTCTCGAGAAAACCCTCTGACCTCGGTACACTTGATGAGATGCAAGTAAACAATCGATTTAGTCATTATCGTGGCCTGAGTCATGGATCTGCCATGCAAGGTAGCCAAGCAACGACGAAGAGCCCTGCGACACCGACGGAACCGTACTTGGCACGTCCGATCTACGTGAGACGTCTTTCTGTCCTCCCTGAACGGAGGCGAGAATCAAAAGTCTATGATCCAGTCATTGAAGCTGCTAAGGGCATCCTCTATTCGGTCTTTCAGATCCACCCCATGATCCAGATGCTCATGAGTTTGACGAGTGATGGGTCTGCTAAGCGATCTAGCCTTGAGATCGTGTTCTACAACACCAACTCCCATGTTGAGGAATTGGAGCAGGAAATCCAGAAACACGAGAACGCCTTGGTCGACCTCGACGACCGCTCCCAAAGAGAGAACGAAAACGTGCATCGAGCCTGTCAAACTCTGGTTAGCGCATATGGCCACGTTTGTACACTTTTAGCCGATAACATCGATACTTTCGTGAACAACGGAGATGCGCGATATATTCGAACGCTTCTGATGTTACTCTACAATAGTATCATGGAACTACGTGTGACACTATCGTCTGTCAGTGCAGAAGATGGGCGTCGACAAGCAGCCTCCAAGGGGGACCAGATGGGTGAGCGTCCTCTCAGGGTGCATACACGTGAACCTTCCATTACCCCCACTGTTGGTAGGTCAACAGGAGCTCGCAATCGCAATGGCACTCTGGTACACCATCCGATCAATTTGCGTGTTGCTACAGATGTGCCCGTGCCTACACCCCTTTCTGCGGCTTATCTCAATGGCAATGGCCGAACCGCCACTATCGCATCCGCTACTCCTCGATCAGGTGAATCTTTCTCCTCGATAGGTAGTCGCGGGATCTCTTCCGAGTTCACCGAAGAAGATCGGCAGTTTGAGAAGATATTCC